CAATTGCATGGTTCATAGGTCAATGTAATTTCAGTAGTTAGGTCCTCTTCTAAAATACTATAATCAATAGGTCAGCTATATTTGGTGTATGGAATGATTGTAAGGTGTACATGTCTGTCAAGCTTGGTTTATCTAACCTTGACCTCATTTTCATGGATCATTGATAGTGTTAAGATTCTGTGATACTTGTAGTAAAACTTTATCTTAAGGACTATCACTATAAAATCAACCATGGTGTTTGAAGTAGGTGAGATATTTCAGCGTGTGCACTTTTGTTTAAATAATATACCACAATGATGACTTTGGCCAAGTATAGTTAAATTTAGCATGGTAGTTTCAGCAAAGATTTTTGTAAAAGTTACTGGATGTCGATTATGACAGACACCAAGTGATGAAATAAGCTTACTTAGTCCTTTGGTCCAGGTGAGCTAAAAATAAGGAGATGTGGTATGATTGCCAAATGAGACAACTTACCACCAGAGTTAAATGGCTTAACTCATTAGATTGGTACATGCATTAAAACAACTAACATAAAAACACAAAGCGTGGATATAAGAATACTCACAGTTACTGTAAGCTAGTTTAAAGTCAATTGCAACTAATAAATAAATCATGTTCTCCCAGACTACAGTATCAATCAGTACACATCCAACGGATTTAGTGTAAAGAAAAAATAAACAGTCAGAGAAACCCATGATCTTTTGCAATGCCAAAATATAGGTAAACAGTATCTACAGGATGTAAGATTCTCATAGCATACATATATAGCAATATATATTTACAAGTAATTATGTTTTAATTTTTACCAAAAACAAATCTATGTTAATACCTAGAAAGCAATATATAAAGTTCAAAGAAATCTTAAACCCAGCTACAGACACAGGCATACAGAACAAGTTGTGAAATATACACACTGTAAGAAGGGGTCAAAATGAGCATCACAATCCAAAAATGGAAAATTATCAATTAGAAACTAAAAATCATCTCTTTTGTTTTAAAATTTTGTATAGTTTCCTGTGTGAAACTAAATTATCCAAACCTAGTTAACTAAGGACAATTATTGCTGTCTGTATTAGATTTATTTAAAGTAAGTTCCATATAAATTTCATGTTAATCTGCATGGAACACAGCTAGTGTCATTCTTTTATGAGTGACAATAGTCACAATACACCATCTAAACCACTAGTTACCGCTAGTTGAAATGTGCTGCAGTAATATAGAATAGTCAAAATCAATACAGAAGTATGAACAACATCTGGTTTGAGAAATTAAAATATTTCTATAGATGATCATAGATGCTTTAGCTAAAAAAATAAATACAATGAAACATTTGGATATTTCAAAATCTTTGACTGAAATGAAATAAAATGAAACAACATTGAACACTAAAAATAATGCAAGAGCACTTTCTGAATAATACTGCACTCAACCCATCTTAAATAAATATATAATATCTTTTATACTCTAAAATATGAGAAAGAGAAGCTGTCTTTGTTTTAAATTTTGTCTGACAAACTGGAACAGGAAAGACTTAGTTCCCATTTTTCGAACAAAAAATTAAGTCGATAACAGAGGGTCTTGGATAATTACCCAGTGATAATATTTTTTTTTATTTTGCATCATCAATTCAAAACACATTTGTTTACATGACATACATGATTACTGAAAAAAAGCCAAAATAAGTCAACAATTATGACTTTAAGAGAACAAGTATAATGAAATAAAATCTGCTAGGTTTGTTACATGTAGGACACATGGATATTCATACTAGTTTTTTAAAGCTAACAAACAGTTTACCTTATTTAATGATAATACTTATAGGTAAAGGTGTTGCTTTTGTTCTTAAATGAAGAATATGAACTTATACTTTATATAGTGTTGATGTAAATCATGATTTTTTTTATTAGTTGTTATTGGCTTTGAACTAGCTTTCAGTAACTGCGAGTACTCTCAGATCTTGTGTCTTTAGTGTTTTTGTTAATAGAAATACAAAGGATATGGGGTATCCATCCATGACACAAAATCAATACATGCACAGCAAAAAAACACACAAAAAGCAAAGGAACAGCGCTTTTATTGCTGTTCTTGATCTCAAAGTCACAGTGAGGCCTTCAACACAACAAGGATAAAAAAAACTCTCACCTCACTGCAAGTTTAAGACGGCCCCTAGCACCGGCTTGAGCAGAATTCTTTGCAAAAATAATTTGGATAGACTTTGTAAGATGCAACACAACCCAATTGGGCCCCGTCAAAAAAGATCATACTGCAAAGTACTGTAAATTCAGAAATTATTGTGTGCATTTATTATTGCGATTTTGTCATTTTAGACTAAAGTGTGATTTAAAATTTTTGAGATATTGAGAAAAATCCTGTTTAATTTATATAAAGAATTTCAAAATGCGAGTTAAAATTATTGAGATTATAACCCTGTTGCATTTTTTGCAATAGTTAAAACATTGCAATAATTTCTGAATTTACAATAGTATATATTTAAAACAAAATAGTTCTCATGCATAGGTGTAAATCTTAAACTATGTAGCATATATTTTAGTAATTAAGGTATTAGGGAGATACCCCCCCCATAAAAATCAAATGGCAGCTCCCTTAGATGAAAGGTGAAGGACTGATGATCCTTGTAGAACACATAATTTACTGATAATTTTGAATAATACAAAAATGTATGAATGAATTCTAAAATTGAGGGCATATATTGCCTGTTTCTCAGATATGAAGTGCCTGGTTTGGTGTATCCAAAATTCCAGTAACCAGTGCAGTACGGTCTGATGTATAAATACAAGTATATTGATCCCGCTTCTTTAAAATGTTTTGAAGTGAATAATTTAACATGGATAGGAATGAGGACCAAGTTAGTTGTTTTTGAGTTTTGTATCAATCTGATGAGTTAAGATGTATTACACCACTGTCCCAGGTTAGGGGGAAGGGTTGAGCACCTGCTAACATGTTTAACCCCATACATTCTGTATGTGCCTGTCCCAAGTCAGGAGCCTGTAATTCAGTGCTTGTCATTTGTTGCTGTATATTATATTTGTTTTTTTCTTTATTGTGGTGTACATTAATCAAGCCGTTAGTTTTCACGTTTGAATTGTTTTACATATTTGTCAATGTCAGGGCCTTTTATAGCTTGCTATGAGGTATGGGTTTCCCTCATTGTACAGTGACCTATAGTTGCTAACTTCTATGTCATTTGGTACCTGGTGGAGAGTTGTTTCACTGGCAATCATACCACATCTTATTTTAAAGAACTTTTAGTGACTATAGCAAGCTCGCACCCTCCACGTTTCATATAAATAATATGGGTTACCCAAAATTAAAAATCTAAATACACAGTCAGATTTTGCATAACAAATAAATAAATGTGGTCAAAGATTTTACAAATCTAATGCGCCATACTGTGCAATATTAAAGATTACTTCTTGAAATTTTTCAATATTTGAAATTTGAAAAAAAAAAAATATTTGAAGAATAATTCTTTTTAATTTCTGAAATCTGAAATGAGAAAAAATTGACCCCCCACAATTTCTTTTTACCCCCCCCCCCCCCCTTTTTTACCCCAAAAAATTCTTTCCCTCAAGATATGGTCATAATCTCAATTCAAATTTCCAATGGAGTTTGCAACCATAATTACCCATTAAAATTTACCATAGTGCTAACTTAATCTATTTTATAATAGAATCTAAAATATGGTGTCAAATCTTTCATATGGATTTTTTTGTAAAAAAAAAAAGATGCAACATTTGCAGATATTTTTACTGGTCTTCCTTTATAAATATGCATTTCTTTAAACATAATTTAAAAGCAGTGTAAGGGAAGTAATCAAAACATATGTGGATTATCTCCCTTACACTGTTTTAAATTGTCTTAATTGTTCATTAACCATTACTTTATACATAATTTAAAAGCAGTGTAAGGGAGGTAATTCAATTGATGTATTTGATTTATCTCCCTTACACTGCTTTAAATTATGTTTTGTACTAAAGTATTTGTCCATATAAAAATGCTTGTTTTTTGCCCCTTTTTGGCCCCTAATTCCTAAAATTTTGAGGCAATTACCCCCAAAATCAATCCCAGCATTCCCTTTGTGATATGGAACCTTGTGGTACAATGTCAGAGAGATCCATACACTAACACACAAGTTATGTCTGGAAGTTACAAAAATGCTTATTTATGGCCCCTTTTTGGCCCCTAATTCCTTAAGTGTTGGTACCATAACCCCTAAAATCAATCCCCACCTTCCTTTTGTTGTATTGAACCTCATGGTAAAATTTCATAGAGATCCATTCACTTAAACTAAAGTTAGAGTGCGAAAACCAATGTGTCTTCGGAAGACGACGACGCCAACGTCATACCAATATACGATCGCAAAATATTTTTTGTGGTCGTATAAAAATGCTTGTTTTGGCCCCTAAATCCTAAACGGTTTGGACCATCACCCCCAAAAACAATCCCAACCTTCCTTATGTGGTATTAAACCTTTTGGTTAAATTTCATGGAGATCCATACTAAAGTTATTGTCCTGAAACCAAATGTCTTCTGACGACGATATACCAATATAATTTAATTTTGGATGTAACACGTCCTCTGAATGGCTGAAAGTGTTTTGTCTATCAGCTCATAGACATAATTTTGTCATGTGACAGTGACGTCATCAACATTTATATCATGGTTTACTCCTTTTTAGAATTAAATTATAAGGAATGACTTTAATACTTTTTCTGTCTATTCGAAATAACATAAAAAATGTGGTGCACACTTTTAAATAACCTGCTACGCGGGTTTTTCAGTGTGCTCCACATTTTTTATGTTATTTCTTTATACCGGTAGACAAAAAAAATATTACAGTCATTCCTTAAATATGACAGCAAAATTTTTTTACGGTCCTATAAAAACAAATATGTCGGTCAATATTGTTTTAAGATAATCTTAATGGGGACAAATTTGATTGGGATTTTTGTTGTTGACATTTAAGACAAGAAACTGGATTTGAACATTCTTACATTTAATATATTTAACAAATGATAGATTCCAATGTAAAGACATTTTTAAATAAATAAGTTTGCAGTCCTTAGTCTAAATCGCTGCTCATTGTGCTGAGGCCTTCATTATTGTGAGGGGCCATCTTAAATTAGCGAAAATACATTTATTCCTGGAATATTTGGACTGGTGTCAGATTTTTCAATGAATTATTTATTATCTGTAATGAGTTCCATATGCATATCATCAGATCTGATTGAGTATTTCTTATAAAAATACATGACAAGTGCTCCCAATATAAGTCCTGGTATAAACACACCAAAGGCCAGTCCTACCATAACACCTGAAATTCAAGAAAAATGGCAACATTTAGGGGACAGCTTTATTTCTTGATTATATATACATTTTCATTGATACAGGAAAATAATACAATTGTAACCCATATACCTGTTTTACACAAAAGACAATTTACAGGGTTTCATCAAAATTATTCTAAACGAAATGGAAAAAGAATGGATTTGCTAATAATGTAAATTCAGGGAAAACATGTTTTATTTATTAGATCAAATTATGCTTCTTTTGAATTAGCTTTCAGTTACTGAGAGTGCATTGTGTCTTTGTCTTATTTTAATTGTTTTTTTGTTTAGTACCGATTTGATGAGTTAGGCCTTGTTGAAACTGATTTTTACAGTTTGATCTTATGATATGCTGTTACACTACTGTCCCAGCATTGAGGGGGGGTAAAGTGCTCACAAAAATGTTTAACTCCAAAACATTCTTTATATTGCTTTGATTGTTGATTTTTGTTTAAATCAAGGGGGAATTAACTTATATAAGATCAAACACATAAATGATTGATCGATTGGTGATTGCTTTACACCGCATCAGCACAAAAAAGCTATATCGCGGTGAGAGCTATTTTAAATATTATAACAAGACGTAAACACATAAATGAAATCTAAATCAACAATAATGAGGGCAATCTTGAAAAACATACATATGTTCACTCTTTGTTAAAAATAAGATTACCTGGATTATTTTTAGTTTCTACTTGTTTCTGTGGAGAACAAATACTATTGTTTTGTTTTAATGCACTATTTGTAATGGTTGATTTTGAGGCGGTATTTGTACTGGTTATCCCTGGTCTATTAGTAATGACAGGTGTCTGTGTACCATGAGGATTTGTTGTCCATCTTGATGGAGGTAGATTTGAATTATTACATCCTTGTGCAGGTGGTGGCAAATCTGGATTAAAACTTCCTGTAAAAAAATGGAAATTGAAAAAAAAAGTTTTATGCTTTTAATATTCCATTCATTGACAATACTGGTGACTGGCATATATTTTTGTACACTTTTTTCCCCAAATTACCCAACTGATCTTGAAACTTCACATTCTGACTGTAGCTGTTAGTCACAATACTGACTGTAGCTGTTAGTCACAATACTGACTGTAGCTGTTAGTCACAATACTGATTATGGAAGATAACAAAGTTACTATCAAATATAAAAGTTGTAAAACTTTGGAAGACACAAACTAAGATATAAGGAAAAGCACTGGTTATGGAAAATAATAAACTTATTACTGAGGTATAAGTAATTATACTGACTTAGGAAGATACAAACTTACTGAGATATAAGTCACAATATTGACTAGCTACCACTGCCTGTTTGGATGGCATTGACTTGAGTCGACACACAGTCTGGTTACCACAGTATATAAATGACCTACAGTTACCAGCTTCCTGATCTACACACAGTTTGGCACATTGATCAGCAGTTATACCAATGATCTCCTGACTAGAATCTATCATCATATCTCTGCCAGTCTTTATCACGAAATCATTTATATATTTACCTAGAACAAAAAATATATTTGTTTAAGTCTTTTATTCTTTAAATTGGAAACTATTTTTACATACTTATGAATACCATCTAAAAAATAACAACACAATATCTGTTGTTGCAATAAAAAAAAAATTAACAAGTATAATGAAAATCCTAGGGTTTGTAATTTGGTTAAATTAACAAAATACCAAAATCTATAAGAGTATGCATAACTTAAAATAAAAAGACTTCGAGTGGAAACTTCACAAAATGATCACATACATACTATTGGGTGTTCATGGTTGGTGTGGTCAGTGTGGTCAGTTTTACAATCAAACTATTATCTCCTATTATCCTTCTTATCAATTATAACAAATGCTAACAAACTACCTCTTTGTGTCAATACTCCATTCAAAGGATACTGTTTATATTTACTTGCAATTATCCTTTACATAATGAGTACCAGTATGCAGAAATTTATTTATGTTACTTACGTGAATAATGGTTACAGGTTGCCTGAACTGTCATGGTGTTGTTAGGCATTTCTAGTTTATGCGTCCTTCTCAGCTGACATGATAATGTGTTGATACAATAGTCAAATGATTTACAGTCAGGATCCTTAGAGCATTGCTGAGCACATAAATTGTCGGTCTGGATACCAGTTATAGTTTCATACCCTGGGGTTGTGTACATCACACCTGGGGTCTTATCATATCTGTCTAAATACAACCCTGTTAAGCAGTAAGTAAGTACATTAGTAAGAAATTAGTAGCAGGAAAGGTAAGGTAGATCATGAAAAATGATGAAAACCATTTACAGTCTCACAAGTAGAGTTTGTGTATTATACAACAAATTTCTTACCATCTCTGTCTAAACACAACCCAGCAAATTTACAGCTTTAAGCATGATTATTTTTGTTTGTACATTTTCCAATAACATTTATTTAAAACTATTTTCCATTGAGTTAGCCAATTTGAGATTCCAAAACAATATAAAAATAAAACAAATAGAAGAACAAATGTTACATTGTAATTTACACATTACAGGGGTACTTAAGTTAAGATCATACAGTTTTAAAGAAGAAACTGATTGAATGCATATCCTGTAATTTAGAATGTTAAATTGTGTTCTTTAGTTGACACCATCTTTAATTTCACAAATTTTATTAAAGAACATCCAAAATACCAGCCATGCATAATATTACTTTATAGTCTATGTGGCAATTTTCCTAAATAACACTAAATTCAACATTTAATTTTTTATACAATGGCAACCATTTTCAGTTTTTGACTGGCATTAAATAATTCAATTGAAGTAAGAATATCATATATAGTATATCATATACATACAGTTTAGGATATTACCAGGACCATTAATATATATATAAACCCAATGTAATTGTTTCAGTCAGAGATCATGAACTATTGATCGTGACAGCAATCTTAAATTTAAGTCTGCAAAAATTCAAGAGCTTCGTTTCACTTTTAAATTGCTGCTTGGGCAAATTATACTGATTTTAAAAAGATACATTATTTGCAATCTGTCCAGTTTTTATAAGAATGGTTGGTAACTTAGTACTTAATACTCACTTGAATAAAGATTACATGAATCACTCGGAGCCAGTAATGTAGTGTTTATATCTGGTTGTACTTTACTGAGATAACACATCTCTGTAGCTTGACAGTATTCAAAGGATTGACAATCAAACAATTCTTCCAACAGACAGGCCACGGCACAATCATCTACTGCTACTCCTGTCAATATCTCATCATTATGTTTGTAAATGACATTGTTTTTAAATAGACTAAACTTTTTAAGTGGTCTCCCTACAAAAAAGAAAATTTCCTCTGTGAATAATTTTGTTTTTTTCAGTAGTATCCCTGGAATGAAGAAAAAAGAAGAACATTTTTTAAAAAACCCATTTTTAACCATTTATATTTAACTTATATAGTTGGTCTATAAACCACTGATTTTGTCTTATCTCCTCTATCGAGCTAGCATTCATCTATCTACGGTTAATATTAGAGAAAAAGAAAAAACAACAACATACAAATAGTCTACTGATGAGACAAAGACAATGAAATACTTCTGCTAAAGCTTATCCCCTGCTTGCATGCTAATCAAACTAGTTAATATTTTAAAATATTAATATGAGTACATCATTCTAAAGTTTTCCTGGCCATAAATGACTAAAGGATTATTTATAAAGGACAGAATATTCACTGCAAAGCATACTTTATGACTACATGCATTTCACCATTGGAATGGAATATGGATGCTTATTAAATGTACAAAAGACAACAGTCCTATGATTACTTGAAACAAAATATTATTGAGTATTTATTCCATTTGATTCATTTAATGTTAGTTCTTCCGAATCTTTATGTTTATAGAAGTTTTAAATATATACTATTTCACAGATGGATTTTATCCATAAAAAGAAAAAGGGTTATATGCCAATGAAACAGCAACTAAACAACACAAAAAACTTAAAAAACATCTACAGGTTTACAGCACTTCAATAAAGATTTTTTCATTATTAACACAAAAAACCACTTTGCTGTTTTAAATAACCTCATTCCTTTCAAACTGTCTTAGATTGAAATCAAATAGAAAGATATAAAAGATAATAAAAAGAGATATAAAAGATAGTAGAACAGTTCTATTTGACCTTCAAATATTTTTTTTTTTTGGTTTTGTTGTGCTGTCATGTTGCTATTTCACCATCATATATGACACATCACCTTTTATCCATGAAATACTTGGAAATAACAATATGTAACATCAGGTCTTCATCTTGAGGTACTTACCACCTTGTGGAACATTGGTCTGTTGTAAAATTGTATCCCTTATTGTCAATGCTGTATAGGTTTTTATCTGAATCAGAAAATAAACTTGTCATGCATTCTAGGTGACCGTAAAAAACAATTCAGTTTGCTACTGTCAGCAGAAATGTAAAAGAATTATATTGTCTTCAATGGAAGGGGAAAAATCATACAAAACACCAAGCATATATTTAACTTCTTTTTGCATTATTTTTTACCTAAAACATGGAATAATAAAAAAATGTTCTCTTTTTCTTTTAAAATAGATTACGTCTAAGGGACATATAATTTTGTGAAAATCGAAAAAACAAAAACTTGAACTGTACCTTCTAATAGACTGAGCAAAAAACCTAAAGTCAGGTTAATAACTCCACTTAAGCTATGGAAAAATGAATGTTGGTCTCACCTGACATGTGAAAATTAAAAGGCCTGTCAGGCAGGAAAATATTTTTATTTTATTGTTTTTGTGTAAAATCAGTTTTGCTCTACAGAGTATGTGGTTGTTAACCTGACAGTAAATTCTCATTTAACATTCTATATTGTGATATAAGCTATATATATATGTGAAACTAAAGGAATGATAGTTGAGCAATGTTGACACACATTTAAGAGATTATCAGAAAATTAAAAAAACCAAAATTGTCAAGAGCAACACTTTTTTTCATCTACAAAAAAAAACTAGAGGATCTAAAGAGCCTGTGTTGTTTACCTTGGTCTATGTGCATATTCAGCAAAGTATACTCAGACTAGAATAAAATTCATGACAAAAATCTGTTTTGTTGATCTTGTATTGCTAATCATTCAGTCTGTTTAGTTTCTCTCTATCTTCTTTAGTTTTGCTCAAAAAACAAAAAAAAGGTTAAAAAAATCCTCATTTAAGGGCAATCACTCCTATAAAGAGTGTCAGTCTACTAACCATATTGGCAAAATTTGACTTTAGTAGATCTTGCCTTGCTGATCATTTTTGTGATTTAAAGTGTCTATTTATCTATTATAATTTTTATTCTATAAGGTTAAACGCAAAAAAATGGTAAAAATTGTCATTAAAGAGCAATAACTCCAATAAGGGCTTGTCAGACAATTTCCTCCAAATTGTCTTAATTGTAGATCTTGTCTTGCTGGTCATTTTTGCTTATTTAAGTTTCTATCTATCTATTATAAATTTTAACATATGAGGCAAAAATGCAAACAATTGGTAAAAATCGTCATCAAAGGGCAATAACTCTTATAAGGAGTCAACTGACAATTTCTACTATGCAAACTTATTTAAAGTTTTACTCTATTTATTATAGTTTTCAAGATAATAGACAAAAATGAAAAAAAATTGTAAAATTTGTCATTTAAGGACAATATTAATAAGTCCTATAAAAAGTTGTATGACAGTTTTGACATTGTATGGACAATTGGTAGAGCTCAACATTTTGAACATTTCTGCTCTTGTCAGATTTTCTCTGTCAGATTTTCTCTATTTATAACAGTTTTCAAAATAATAGACAAAACTTGCATTTTACCAATATGTTCTATTTTTAGCCATGTCAGCCATCTTGATTGGCAGGTGGGGTCATCGAACACATTTTTTAAACTAGATACCCCAATGATGATTGTGGCCAAGTTTGGTTTAATTTGGCCCAGTAGTTTCAGAGGAGAAGATTTTTGTAAAATTTAACAGACGACGAAAGATGGCCAGGTGAGCTAAAAAGTAGAAAAAAAGAATTAACCCAGATGGTAAAAAAAGAACCAGCAGGGTTAAGGGAAACAAAAAGTCATTTTTGCATGGCCTTTGGAAAAGTGTTGAAATTTTTAAGACCCAATAAATTTTCTATATTCAAGGAACTCAATTTTATGAAAAAATCATACCACACTCCAAATGATGTGATCATAAGGTATATATCAGTTGATATTTGGATACACTGGAACTTATAACTGTGTGACAGAACTTATAACTTATTACTATGTGTGATAGAATTATTACTAGTGCGACAGATTTTATTACTATGTGTGACAGAACTTATAACTCAATGTGTGACACAACTCAATAAGTACTTACAGTATCATTTATAGTAGGTATATTAACTTTTAAGATTCCTGAGTAAATATCATTTTTCAGGTTAATATAGGCCGTATAAAGGTCTGGGCTTGGTATAACTGTAGCGTTTTCTGTTCCTGTAATGTAATATTTAAGATTCAGATCAAGATTCAGATCAATATAGGTTGTATAAAGGTCTGTGATTAGTATAAATGTAGGGTTTACTGTTCCTGTTATGTCAAACTAAAGATAAAGTTCAAGATTCAGGTCAATATAGGCTGTACAAAGGTCTGTGCTTGGTATTAATGTAGTATTTACTGTTCTTGTAATGTAAGACCTCAGATTGAGTTCAAGATTCAGTTTAAGCCATGTTTATGTCACTGTGTAATTTACCAATTTTAAAATACTGTTAAGCAGTTGCCAATCAATCTGTACAAAATGTAGTAATTCAGAGTCCAAATTTACAGAAAAACACTTTTTGAGGCATCTGCTTCAAACAAATGTGGCAAGGGTTCATCTGACCCTGGCTAACCCATGGAAGCACATGCCAATAAAAATATTTTAGAAAAATTAAAAGCCATAATTAAGGAATTTCATCTACAAACAAACAATTTGAACTCATTTTTCTATTTTTCTGTCTACTTTAAGCAACTGTAAACTTTTTTCCAAAAATGTCTATTGTAGTATTAAACAGTGACCTTGAGCTTTGCCCTATTGACATCATAATGAATATGCCTTTTCCTCTTATATGTCATTTAGCTGTATAAGTTTAATCCCAAATAGGCAAGGGAAAGTCAAGTTACAACAGGGAATACATTTTTCCATAAATTACAATGTTTTTTTAGTAACAGTGACCATGATCTTTGATATATGAACCCCTATATCAAGATGCTTCTTTCTCTCCCCTTTTGTGGTCAATCTGTATATGTTTCGTTCCATAACTCAAGTTACCATCATTAACCCATTTGTTCCAAACACACAAAACCAAAAATAAAAAAAAATAGGAAAATGAAAAAAACATGCTTACTTGAATAATGATCACATATAGATCCATTACTAACAAGTTGTCCAAAAGAAACATGCCCTGTACTGATAAAACAATAATGTACTGATGAACAAATGTCAAAACTGTTACAGGGGAAACTCTTTGTCTGAACACAGGCATGAGCACAATCATCTGCTGTTGATATGTCTACGAAAAAACCAGCAGATTTATGTGGCATCACCTTCCCTGCAATCTTTGTGAATTCAGCTATAAATAAAAAGGAATAAATACTGTGTGATGAATAGGATGACCTCCCTTTTAAGATACAACAAGTCTTTAAGAAATTATTAATTTTAATTTTCTCATGATAAAGGAAAGACTTCCATTTGAACTCCTCACTGTAGACAGAATAAGCAAAGAAATTCATGAAAAGGGTTCAAAAGGAACTCTTAGCCACAAAAACACAAAAAATTAATTAAAAATTAATATTTAAATGTAATCGTGAAAAGTTGCTCTCTTAGAATTAATAAATCCATATTTACCAGAAAAAACACATTTCCTATTCAGCTAATGACAGCAAAACTACCCCCTTCTTACAATAAGCAACTGCACCCATGATTTTCTATTTAAAACAGTTTTTACAGGTCCTTCATATGATAAGCCCACGATGAATCAATTTTTATCCGCTATGCATCATTTTGTAAGAATATTTGAGCACCATGACGTAACATAAAATAATTTTTGAATGTTTTCTTTCCTTTATTTCAATATAGAAATAGGGGAGGTTTGCCTAAATACCTGAATATTTCTTATGTTTATTTAACTGTTATATATGTTGACAATGCTTTTTTTTTCATCATTCTGCTGAATAGTTTTTTTTTAAACTATCTAGTTACAAATTCTAAGATTTTTAAATCACCATCATTCAAATATCACCTACCCAAAAATGGTGGTTTGTCCATCAGTGTTGCTGTGACGTAAATATTATCATCATCATGATCAATCCTAGCCTCCTGAACTCGAAGTGGAGAAACACTAGCAGCTTGACTGGTCATTAATACAGCTAATTCTACAAACATCTTCCGATTGATGTCAATAAATGGATGGAAAGGACCTAGTATGTAAAAGTAACACTCATATTTAACCTTCATTTTATATTTTATTAAATACAATCAAATTTGTAAGGTCTTTTACTGTGGATTCTAATATGATGTGCTTCTTTCGCTTTGTAAACAACACCGTGATAAAATTCTCGATATATCTATACTTAGCGCAGACTCAGAGATGTGCATATTGGTGGCTGTTACTATTTACCTCCCACGTAAATCCACATGTATCGTAACCTATGTGCAAACACTATGTCGATTTCGTTGTGTTCAAATTGAAATTGAAAAAGAAACTACAGAACCGTTATTCCTATTATAATGCATAACAAAAAGAATTAATGCACAAGAGCTTAAAAAATGTATAAAATCAAAATAAAACAAAATTCCGTGAAATTTCATGAATAATCTTGGCGCATTAACGTCATGTCATAACATGATGTCATACGAATGAAAACTCTCAAGCTGATGGTTTTCCGTTACGTATACGCCCTAAATTCGGATAATAATGCATTAAAATGGAGTTTTGAGGTAGGTGTTGTTTCATTTTCTATTCCATTACATTTGTTGCACATTTGTGGATTTCAGCAAGTCAACATGGCGGCTCACTCCTTAGTTACGACATGTCAACTCTGGATTTGACAGTAAATAGAAGCCAACGAAAAAAAGTGTTTGGGTCAAGAATTGTGAGAATTGAACACATTTTTTCTAGTGCTTATTTAAGAAATAATTCATCTAAGACTTAGATTTATTTAAAATTTGTAGCTTTTATCTTACAGGGGGTAAAATAGAACAGCCATACACACGGCAATCTTACCTTCGCTTCAGTTTTTAAATTACCGTATTTGTCCTATTAGAATCGAAATAATTCATGGAAGCCATAGATTTTTTGGACACTTACACATGGCCTGGGCCGTGATATTCGTTTATTTTATCCCTCGCTAACGCTCAGGATAAAATTCGAATATTACATTCGTTAATTTTATCCCTCGCTAACGCTCAGGATAAAATTCGAATATCACGGCCCAGGCCATGTGTAAATGTCCAACAAATCTATGGCTTCCATGAATTATTTCTTAATTAATTTGTATTGATGGGATACTGATTTTCATGGATTCCGTAGGTAAAGGTGAACCGTTCAATGAAAAAAACAAATTTGCTATAGGCTTGTATGCAGACTATGTCAAAACTAGGAAATCAAATTCCTGAATATATAATTTTTCCTCAATCAGCAAAAATTGGTACCGGTACTCACAAAAATAAATGAATCCACAGAAAATCATTATTTTACTTCATTTTAAGAGACTGTATATCATTTTAATATCTGAGGAATAATTATAATAAGACGGGAACTTTTGTTTTGATTTAAAAAAAAATGAATGCACAAGGCTGAAGTATAAAAGTATATTTATTTCTTCAACTTCAGTGATTGAGATATCAGTCCTGACTTATTTTTTTTTGTTGTTTATAGATTCAGTATTTAAAAATGTTCTGTTTGTTAATGGCTAAACAACAGATTTTTGCAGTACAGATGGCAAGTAATTGGGTAGGAATAGTATTGACAGGGTAACATCAAAGATAACTCACCAGGAAATTTGATTTGGAATCGATGCTGCTGCTTGTCTGTATAACATTTCTGGATATCAAATACCATTATATCAGGATGACTGACTTCAAAGTTGAAAAAATTATAGGTAAAGAAGAGACCTTGCTGAAAGAAAGGTACATACTCTTAGATTTTCTGTTAAATACAATTGCATTTATATGACATTTGCTTCTTCACATTTTTCTTTGTTGTTATTTTTCTGTTAATGTTTTTATGTTATGTTTTTAACATTCAAAAATGCGCTCCGCCTGCAGCAGCTGGATACGACCGCAGAGGTCGAACTCTGAACAGTTGGGGCAAGTATGGACACAATATTCAAGCTTGATATAGCTCTGAATTTGGATAGTGATTAAATATTTGACAAATTATAGATTTCTCACACAGAATAAATGTGGTCAGATAACTTAAAAATTTGAAATGGGACATTTAATCTACTTAATGGTCCAATATCCAAAATCTAATTCCATGGTTAGATTCAGCATATAAAAAAGAAACCATGAATTCAAACAAAGTTTAATTTTGGACCCTTTGGACCTTAATATGGACTAATTTGAAAACAGAGCCCAAAATTATAAATCTGAATGCACAGTTAGATTCAGCATATCCTAGAACCACAAGAATTCAATTTTTTATGAAATTAAACAAAGTCTAATTTTGGACCCTTTGGACCTCAATGTAGACATATTTAAAAATGTCCAAATATCCAATATAGTAATACATGGCCTTTTTTGGCCCCTTTTTGACCCCTTTTTCCTAAACAATTGAGACCATAAGCCCCAAAATCAATCTCAACCTTCCTTTTATGCTATTGAACCTTGTGGTTAAATTTCATAGAGATCCATTCACTTATACTAAAGTTGTTGTCTGGAAACCAAATGTCTTCGGACAACAACAACGACAACGACATGATAGCAATATACGAACGCAAATTTTTTGCGGTTGTATAAAAATAATTTGTTTACACTCACTGCAGATGACAGTAAATTCTAGTTGTATGTTAATTTTTATTTATATATATATATTTGAAATATTATCGTGTCGTTACCCTACACTTTTCATCTAATGTTCTGTCACCAGCAAAAATTTCAACAATGGAAAAATAGTACTCTACATGAACAAATCCTATAAAAAATGTGACCGATTGGACAACTTGTGACTCTATTATCCAACAAGCAAGTTAACATTTAATTAGAAATTCCTGAAGAAAAATCATGAAACAAATTTAAAGTCATAATAATCAAACAGGGGTAAAACACAAATGAACAAAACATCAACTTAAGAATAAATGACATCCATTCCTAAAGTTCGTTACCAATAGAAGAAATTGCATAGAATATACTATAAAACATCAAGCAAAGGAAAATAACTTATTAAATGTCTGCTATATTACTAACATAGAGTTTAATACAGTCTTTCAGTAGTATATAATCAAAAATAGCTTAAGTAATATTTAAAACATAAAATATAATTATACTTTACATCTACAATAGTTATATCTAGTTTAACAGGAACAAATGGATTGATAGCATCATCATCCTTTCCAACTTCTGTCCAACCACCCTGGAAAACAGTGTATTAGTTTAATAGCTAGCAGACCATTTTTTAGTGTGATATCTAAGAGAACAGTTATTCTACCTTTATTCATCTTTCAAGAAGTCAACAACAGAAAGTGCCTCATGTGTTTCATGACCTTATCCCATGTATAAAAACAAATGCTAAAATTTGCAAATTTGATAGGTATGAAGTTCTCTATTTGTATTGAAAGTCTGAGTAAAGTCTTTGTTTATGGGTCAGACACTAATACACTTTAAATTAATGCAAGGTGTTTAAAACTTCATTGATATGAATAAATCAAAAAGTTGAGTAGAAGTGAGTAAGACAGGGAGTATCTTTATACATTGCAAATTCTCTAATTTGCAAAAGTATAAAAATACAAGCAATTTTATATACTCAGTTTTAAATGATATATATGCTTTGGCATACTATAGATCAACTTATTTGCATGGATACTTTAAATATAGGGTTGTGCACTTTTAAGACTTCTTCACAGTGATGTATTTTCAAGATTTTCTAATTTTCTTAATGCATTTATGTAAGAGAAGATCCAAGTTTTACATATTCACAATGAAAAATATTTTCATCTATATTTTTGTGAATGTCATGAAAATAAATGGCTCACGAAAACTAGTTGGTTTACAGTATATACTTACTGTCAAGAAATAATACTCTAGTATAGCAGGATGTGAACCATTCAGTCCAGGCATTGAATAACTCTGAATCATTCCCAGGAATACATCACATAATAAATTTCTCACAGTTTTCTATAAATAGACAAATTGTTACAATAAATAAACTCATCATCTGTCTAATATAATGATAATCAAACTTCTTGCAACATTCCATATAAAATGGCTTTGTTCCAAAATATGTTTTCCTTTAGCGAAAATTACCACAGATTTGTATTTTTTTGGAAGGAGATCATTACAATTTCCATTAAAAGAAATATATGTTATATTTATGGATACATGTATATAAATGTTGAATGATATAAATTGATGTATTTTCTTTTTGTTAATTGCCAGAACATTGCTATATCTAAATAAATTTGACAAACTTGTAACAATAAAATTACACCATATTTATACCTGTCCTACATATCTTGTTTCTGTATTTAAGTGGAATAGTTCTATTGGACTTTTCATTTTAATCACATACGATTTGTCTTTCATGTACTCTTGTGGATTAAGTTCTGAGTCGTATTGGCCTGGTGTGATTGGTGATATAGTACAGTTCTCATAATACTTGTCTATCACATACTGAAGACCTATATAAAACATGTATTAGGTAAATATTCAAACAAGCACAAAATGTATAATGAATATCTAAATTATGATAGAAAACAAATGTAACTGGATTAAGAACTTTTACTAGCTGTCTTCCTAGAGAATACTATTTTGATTTAACAAAAACTAATGTAGCTATATAATAAATGTTAACAGTTGCTTATTATGTTCATCAATAAAAATAAAACAAAATATATGATTATTGCAACAAAGCAAAAAGCAATGCCACATTACAATGAGAGTTGTTTAACTATTAACAATCAAGTGATACAATCTTCCACATGCGAAAGTCTCTTAGGCATTAAAATTGACCCTTCCCTCACATGGACAAACCAAATTGATGTGATCTGCTCAAAATTTCATCTAGGCTATATCTACTATTAAAGATTAAGAAATTTCTAAATCTAGACTGCAGAAAATTATTCTATAATGGTTATATCTTGCCACTAATTGATTATTGTTGTATAGTGTGGAGTAGTTGTAGCAGTGAGGGTTTAAATAGGATATTTAAATTACAAAAGAGAGCTGCTAGATTAATACTAGAAACAGACCCTTTCGCTCCTTCCGAGCCCTTATTCAAACACTTAAACTGGATGACAGTTGAACAGAGAATAAAATATGACAAGTTTGTGATGACATTTAAGTGCATCAAAAATGACGCACCATCATATCTTACTAACAAGTTCCATTATGTTTCAGACAGAAATCCATACCCCTTGAGAAATGCTATTCAAGGAAACCTCATACTCCCTAAACCAAAACAGAATTGTTCAAAAAATCTTTTACGTATTCTGGACCATTCTTGTGGAATAATTTGCCAATACCGCTAAGAAATATTACAAATGTTAATTCTTTCAAATACAAAATAACAGATCATTTATTGAAATCAACCTAGCTGTATAAAAAATATTGAAAACTGATTATGTCATCACGTTTATTTTTTCATAACATTTTATCAAGTTGTATTGAACATTATTATCATACTTGTCTTTTTATACTAATGTATGCAATGTATATGTTTGCATTTTGTTTGATTTTTTATGATGAGGGCCTCAGGGAAGATTAGTAATATAGCTAACTGTGTAACCCTCTTAAAGTATTGTTGTTGTTGTTGTTGTTATTTCATGGAAGAATCCTCAGAATGCATTCAATCTCTAATATGATGTAGTATTGCTTTTGTGGGATATCAAAAGAAAATGTCCATCAAATCCCATAATTTCCTAACAGTTGTAATAGTGATGTTTGTTACATTTTTTCATGAGTCTTCCAAGGAAAACATTGTGTCGCTTGTCTTCTCCAAATTAAATTTCTAGTTTTGACAATTGACCAACATCAAAGTTTTTGTTGATTACAAGACTTATCATTATGTATGTCAGTTAACTCAAGCAAATATAAACGAGTAATAGAATCCCTTTACACAGATGATCTTTATAATTGTCCCATCTGAAATTTTAAGGATGGGAAAGACACATTTTACCTCATTGAAGTCTACTGGAGGTTAGAGTTGTAACTGTGCAAGTCTACTGGAGGTTTAAGTTGTAAGTGTGCAAGTCTATTGGAGGTTTAAGTTGCAAGTGTGCAAGTCTACTGGAGATTAAAGTTTTAAGTGTGCTTGTCTTCTGAAGGTTTAAGTTGTAAGTGTGCAAGTCTACCAGAGGTTAACATTGTAAGTGTGCAATACTACACGAGGTTAATGTTGTAAGTGTACAAGTCTACCAGAGGTTAACGTTGCAAGTGTGCAAGTCTTCTGGAGGTTAACGTTGTAAATGTGCAAGTCTACAGGAGGTTAGCGTTGTAAGGGTACAAGTCTACTGGAGGTTAACGTTGTAAGCATGCAAGTCTATTGGAGGTTAACATTGTAAGTGTGCAAGTCTACTAAAGTTTTACATTGTAAGTGTGCAAGTCTACTGAAGGTTTACATTGTAATTGTGCAAGTCTACTGAAGGTTTATGTTGTAAATGTACAAGTCTACTGCAGGTTTAAGTTGTTAATGTGCAAGTCTACAAGATATTAAGTTCATACAATCAGTTGTTAAAACCCAATAATTCCAAACTTTGCTCTAGTTATCCTCTTTTTAATCAGTTGGAAGGAAGTATAATTTGGAGGTGGATTTTTGACACATACTAAATACTAGCCAATGGCAAATGTTTTTGTTCACAGATTGGTATTTGAAAACCAAAATTCTTGTACACGGCCTTAATAATGAAAACATTATGCTAACTTCATACAGTGATGAAAAGACTTACCTGTGCTAAAATCATGTATTATCGTCATTGGATTGATGGAATAGAATGGTGGTACACCTTTAGAATCATGGTAGTCATATCTAGCCAATTTGTAGCTAGAGTCATACCATACCTATAACAATATCAAAATAAAGAGATGTGGTGTTATTGTCAATCACCTGTCATTCTGCAAATGTTATGACAGCCACAACAAGATTTTATTGGAGTCATTCCAGACCTATTATTATATAAAAATTAAAACAGTGAGTGAACTTATAAAGGGATACCCCTATTCTACTATACTAATAGTATATTGAAGTAGGTATTTTTTATAATCCCCCTTTTAACATGTTGAGGTTATATTCCTATTTGCACATCCTCAGGTAATCCTCTATATCAGTGTAAAGTTTCATTAATAACTGTCAAGCAGTTTTGGAGGAGTTGCACTGACAAGGCACATTGACAGACAAGGGAATGGAAAGACAGACAGGGTAATTCCTATTTACCCCCAACATTTTGTTTGTTGGGTTTATATGAATGAAATAATTAATTGTCAATGAGACAACTATCTACCCAGACCAAAGGACAAGATTAGAATGTTGATAATTATAGGTCATTGTGCTACCTTCAACAATAACCCAAATAGATGCAGTATAAAAGGCTAAAAAATGCTGTAGGATAACAAAATTTTATTATCTAACAAGTTTATTACACTTATCAAACAAGATAAAGGGGTCATGGCAAGTGGATCAAATCACTGATTTTACAACTTTAAATGTAAAAAATTATATTCAGATTCAAAGATAAAAATATCATCTATTTTAATATTTGGATAAGCTTTTTCAGCATCCAACATCAAACTTTTTTACACAGATCTATTGCATCCTCCTTTAAAAAAAACAAACCAAAGGACTTCAGATCAACATATAACAGTAAGAACAGACTGGAGTTACTTACAGAGAGGATTAGTCAGCTAACAAGACATCTTTTCTAATAAAAAAATGACAAATGTGAATAAATGGTAAACAAGTTGGAAACTCAACCATTTAGACAGAACAAGATCTTATAAGTTGGTTCACAAGATGAACCATTTACCTATACCAGTCAATCCCAAAGTAAAAATAATGGCTACAATTACCATTTACTGTGATACTCACCTTGCTGACATAAACCTGTGCCAAATTTGGAATGACTACTTCTTGAGTGTAAGAGACCTGACCACTGATTTTCGGCATAATTGTAGGTTTGGCAGCACCTGAAATTATAAGGTTTATAATAGAAAATTCCATTACAAAGTAATACCATAACTACTGGGCCACTTTGTTAGAATTATAGCACTTAGCTTATGTGTACCTTTATTTATTCATTTCAGTTTTTTTCAGTTAATTTAAAATTTATCAACATGTACTTTAGTATTTAATTTTAGTTTAATACTATTTATGTTTCAGTTAATTGTAGTAATCTATATTTTCACTAATCAAAGTGCTTGTGAGCACCGGAAGGTAAAGATTGGTTTCATTTTGCAATTTTGTGACACTGAATTGTATTTAGCTAAGGCAAATTATAAAGTTGATCTGGAGTTATCTTCCTTTGTTCATGATTGTACATTTATAGTTGAACCTATATTTAAAACAGATTCATACACCATTCATAACTTATGTAATCTTTAATAAAAAAAAATTCTGGACAAGTATGGTAATTCAAATACACATCATATTTTAACTTTAATATCTAAATATAACAAATAATTAATAAATTGCATGACATTGACTGAATAGGATATAAAGAATGACCACTTCACTGCACTATTTCACTTGAACTATCAAATTTAGTGATAAACCTTGGAAGACAAAGATATCAAGTCAGTACCATAAGGGTTTTGATTGCATTTCATGCAATCTTTACCCCAAAAACAGTCAGAGACACTAACAGGAAGTTAGTTTTCAGACTTCCACTTATTAATGAATAAGTACGACTCACAAATGATACCCACTTAAGGTATTCGGTAAACAGAAAGTCGATGAGTGATTGATGTGGAAACACTTCACATGGTATAGCATGCTAACACAAATCTTGTTTCCAAATTAACATTTAGTTCCCAACATAATTTTATGCAACAGATCTGAGATGGACGGAAATACAAATGGATGTAAATCAGCCTATCCTTTGGTGCAGGGGAATAAAACTGCCTAAAAAACTAGAGGCTCTAAAGAGCCTGTGTCGCTCACCTTGGTCTATGTGAATATTAAACAAAGGACGCAGATGGATTCATGACAAAATTGTGTTTTGGTGATGGTGATGTGTTTGTACATCTTAATTTACTGAACATTTTTCCTGCTTACAATTATCTCTATCTATAATTAACTTGGCCCAGTAGTTTCAGAGGAGAAGATTTTTGTAAAAGATTACTAAGATTTACGAAAAAATGGTTAAATGACTATAAAGGGCAATAACTCCTAAAGGGGTCAACTGACAATTTCGGTCATGTTGACTTATTTGTAAATCTTACTTTGCCGACATTTATTGTTTTTTTACAGTTTATCTCTATCTATAATAATATTCAAGATAATAACCAAAAACAGCAAAATTACCTTAAAATTACCAATTCAGGGGCAGCAACCCAACAACGGGTTGTCCGATTCATCTGAAAATTTCAGGGCAGATAGATCTTGACCTGATGAACAATTTTACTTCATGTCAGATTTGCTTTAAATGCTTTGGTTTTTGAGTTAAAAGCCAAAAACTGAATTTTACCCCTATGTTCTATTTTTAGCCGTGGCGGCCATCTTGGTTGGTTGACCAGCTCACGCCACACATTTTTAAAACTAGATAACCAAATGATGATTGTGGCCAAGTTTGGTTCAATTTGGCCACGTAGTTTCAGAGGAGAAGATTTTTGTAAAAGATTACTAAGATTTACGAAAAATTGATAAAAATTGACTATAAAGGGCAATAACTCCTAAAGGGGTCAACTGACCATTTCAGTCATGCTGACTTATTTGTTAATTTTACTTTGCTGAACATTATTGCTGTTTACAGTTTATCTCTATCTATAATAATATTCAAGATAATAACCAAAAACAGCAAAATTTCCTTAAAATTACCAATTCAGGGGCAGCAACCCAACAACAGGTTGTTCGATTCATCTGAAAATTTCAGGGCAGATAGATCTTGACCTGATAAACAATTTTACTTCATGTCAGATTTGCTCTAAATGCTTTGGTTTTTGAGTTATAAGCCAAAAAATGCATTTTACCCCTATGTTTTATTTTTAGCTGTGGCGGCCATCTTGGTTGGTTGGCCGGGTCACGCCACACATTTTTTAAACTAGATACCCCAATGATGATTGTGGCCAAGTTTGGTTTAATTTGGCCCAGTTGTTTCAGAGGAGAAGATTTTTGTAAAAGATTACTACGATTTACGAAAAATGGTTAAAAATTGACTATAAAGGGCAATTACTCCTAAAGGGGTCAACTGACCATTTCGGTTATATTGACTTATTTGTAAATCTTACTTTGCTGAACATTATTGCTGTTTACAGTTTATCTCTATCTATAATAATATTCAAGATAATAACCAAAAACAGCAAAATTTCCTTAAAATTACCAATTCAGGGGCAGCAACCCAATAACGGGTTGTCCGATTCATCTGAAAATTTCAGGGCAGATAGATCTTGACCTGATGAACAATTTTACCCTTTGTCAGATTTGCTCTTAATGCTTTGGTTTTTGAGTTATAAGCTAAAAACTGCATTTTACCCTTATGTTCTATTTTTAGCTGTGGCGGCCATCTTGGTTGGTTGGCCGGGTCACGCCACACATTTTTTAAACTAGATACCCCAATGATGATTGTGGCCAAGTTTGGTTAAATTTGGCCCAGTAGTTTCAGAGGAGAAGATTTTTGTAAAAGTTTACGGACGACGGACGACGGACGCAAAGTGATGAGAAAAGCTCACTTGACCTTTCAGGTCAGGTGAGCTAAAAATGAGAAAACTACTGTATTTTCAGAATACAAATGTCTTTTGTACATAGATCATTGCAATTGAATCTCTGATGCCTACAAAAAAGACAAATGTGTTTGATTGATTATTGTTTGCTTACTGTCCAGTGGTAGATTTTTTTTATGTTCATATAAAAAGTTGCTACATGATAAAAAGGTGTAGTTTTCTTTTACAATAATGAGAATAATTCAACAACTTCTGAATATACTGAACTCATGGCTTTTTCAAAGGTGAAATAAATGTGTTATTTTAGGTATCAAACGTTCTTTGAAAATTTAAAAGATTGGAAAAGATACTGGGGTTGAGTTTAAATATCATGAATTTGACACTTACAAAAACTCTACTGATGTATCAACAGCAAGATAGTATTGACGCTTACCAAACTCTACTGATGTATCAACAGCAAGATAGTATTGACACTTACCAAACTCTACTGATGTATCAACAGCAAGATAGTATTGACACTTACCAAACTCTACTGATGTATCAACAGCAAGATAGTATTGACACTTACCAAACTCTACTGATGTATCAACAGCAAGATAGTATTGACACTTACCAAACTCTACTGATGTATCAACAGCAAGATAGTATTGACACTTACCAAACTCTACTGATGTATCAACAGCAAGATAGTATTGACACTTACCAAACTCTACTGATGTATCAACAGCAAGATAGTGTTGACACTTAAAAAACTCTACTGATGTATCAACAGCAAGATAGTATTGACACTTAACAAACTCTACTGATGATTCAACAGCAAGATAGTATTGACACTTACCAAACTCTACTGATGTATCAACAGCAAGATACTACTGACACTTACCAAACACTACTGATGTATCAACAGCAAGATAGTATTGACACTTACCAAACTCTACTGATGTATCAACAGCAAGATAGTATTGACACTTACCAAACTCTACTGATGTATCAACAGCAAGATAGTATTGACACTTACCAAACTCTTCTGATGTATCAACAGCAAGATAGTATTGACACTTACCAAACTCTACTGATGTATCAACAGCAAGATAGTATTGACACTTACCAAACTCTACTGATGTATCAACAGCAAGATAGTATTGACACTTACCAAACTCTACTGATGTATCAACAGCAAGATAGTATTGACACTTACCAAACTCTACTGATGATTCAACAGCAAGATAGTATTGACACTTACCAAACTCTACTGATGATTCAACAGCAAGATAGTATTGACACTTAACAAACTCTACTGGTGTATCAACAGCAAGATAGTATTGACACTTACCAAACTCTACTGATGTATCAACAGCAAGATAGTACTGACACTTACCAAACTCTACTGATGTATCAACAGCAAGATAGTATTGACACTTAACAAACTCTACTGATGTATCAACAGCAAGATAGTATTGACACTTAACAAACTCTACTGATGTATCAACAGCAAGATAGTCTTGACACTTACCAAACTCTACTGATGATTCAACAGCAAGATAGTATTGACACTTACCAAACTCTACTGATGATTCAACAGCAAGATAGTATTGACACTTACCAAACTCTACTGATGATTCAACAGCAAGATAGTATTGACACTTACCAAACTCTACTGATGTATCAACAGCAAGATAGTACTGACACTTACCAAACTCTAATGATGTATCAACAGCAAGATAGTACTGACACTTACCAAACTCTAATGATGATTCAACAGCAAGATAGTATTGACACTTACCAAACTCTAATGATGTATCAACAGCAAGATATTATTGACACTAACAAACTCTACTGATGTATCAACAGCAAGATAATATTGACACTTACCAAACTCTACTGATGTATCAACAGCAAGATAGTATTGACACTTACCAAACTCTACTGATGATTCAACAGCAAGATAGTATTGACACTTACCAAACTCTACTGATGTATCAACAGCAAGATAGTATAACATCTGAAAAATATACAAACATCATTCTTCAAGTTGTAATTCTTTCAAATTCTTCCTTATCTGCTTCAATTTTAACAATCTAAATGCATAACATACCAGTATTTTACAAGTGAAATATATAATTCTGTTTTATGCCACACTTTCCAAATTCAGCTGTTTAAAATAATTCTGCACACTAGCAAAGCTATTACGTATTATATCCCACAGAATGCTTGTTGAAGTTAAATTTGAAATGTAAAATTTTCGGCTTTTTGCAGATGAACTTTTTCCAGGGGTGTTAGTAAAATTTGTTCACAGATCTTATAGGACACATGACTTTCATTTCTACCTTTATTTAAATTAAATGTCATATTTGGCCTCTTACCACATTTTTGACACTAATTTTAAAAAACACTTATTTGAACCCCTGTACTCAGTATTATCTTACATTTTCATATATTTTCATATATCTAATTAAAATTTTAAGTTTCAAACTTTTAAACATTTTCAATAATATATATATTTTCCCAACAAAACAGAACATGCATATCAAAATAATTTGTTTGTTTAAATATGTAATTAAACAAAATAACAGTATTAAATGTCCCTGGCAGTTGCACATATTTTATCTGTCAAAAGTCAATTTACCCTCAAATTTTTTGGGGTTCTTTCAAACTTTTTTTATAAATATTCTACATGTAGACATGATATTGATAACTATGTTATTTTCCATATAATTCCTATATAAACCTTTCATGAATATTTTATCAAAATTTAAGAAGAAAATTGTAGGTGTGAGAGTGCTTACCGTGCAATGTTAAATATAAATTAAATTGCAATGGGACATTACTCCCATAATAATAATTGATCAGCAATGATTTTTCGAACTTGACCCAGACATTACTGATATAAACCTTTGATGGAAATTTCATAACAATCCAGCAAGAAATTTAGGTGTGAGAGTGCTTACAACACAATCTTCCATGTAATTTACAATTCCAAGGGACATAACTCTTGTAAAAATAAATTGATCAGTTTTTCCAACTCTTCCAAAACATTGTTGATATAAAACTTGATATAAATTTCATAACAACCCTACAAGAAATTTAGGCTTGAGAGCACTAACAATGCAAATTTCCATGTGATTTATATTTCCAAGGGGCATAACTCCATTAATTTGGTTGTTTGGAACAGTTTCCTAACTTGTACGAAACATTGCAGATATAAACATACATGATTTTCATCAAACCTGGCAAGAATTGTATTGAAAAAAGGACAGACTGACACATGGTTGGACAAACAGATGAAACGCCTGGAATGTCAATGTCCCTCACACCGCCTTGCTCAGGGGACAATAATAATATGTTGAAAGGGAGATAATCAAATATCAAGAAGATGAAAACTTTCATACACATCTCTGTAAAAAGACCTTTGACTATTTATACATCCATACCTCCTGATTATCCATTTCTACTTGTATTTGAAACTGTTTACTATAGACTGCTAATCTTAATGACTGATAAGCTTGTAGTATGGTCTTTTCTGGTATTCTTGGACCGTTCACTGTTCCTATAAATGACAACTTTACTTACATTTCAGAAGTAAACATTCTATGTCAGTAGTTTCTTGAAAGTGTTAGTACTATTCCTTCTAATTGTAGGTAACTGATTGGGTTGGAGATTAGTATTTAACTTGGCATAAAGAAAAGAAATAAAAAGTAGACATAGCCAACAGATGCTACCAATCAGCACATGAGGTAAAAGCAAGTACTAAAATCTACAATATTGTAACCCAAATAAATTAACTATTTCCTCATCTTAAGGCAATGCATGTGGCAGTACTATGAAAGAGTTAAAGATACACAAGAGTAAATTCCATAGTTGCCAACTGACATGATATTCGCGTGTAATACATGCTTTTTCAACGGTTTACACTAGAGGATTTTGTCACATGGCGTGTACACGCGTTTCGCCACTCTACACGCAATTACACGCTTTTTCGTTGTTTTGATTTTTTGGTCGTTAGTGATATCTTGATTCTGGTTTTTTTTTCATTATTAGACAAAAAAATACCTAAAATTATTGTATCGTCGCCATTGTTTATTTTTCTATATGTCCTATATGGACGAACAGCAAAAGCCCTTAAGGTAAGAAGTTTGTGATTAGTTTTTACGATTTTGTGACTTTCTTTCTTTCAAATTCACTTAGGGGAAATAGTTCGCTTTCAGGACCTGTACCGTCGTCTAAAGAGCAGATTGCTAAGCGAAAATGATTTGTACGTACCAAGATAAATTTCAAGATTTACAAATTATATTTGGGAGTTCCAAGTTTAAATTATCAAGAGACGAGTAACGCATTGTGCACCCTATGTTGCAATCATGACAATACATGTGAGAGGAGAACTACAATGTAGCGATTTGATTAAGCATTTAAGGTGTTAAATGGTAATCAAATAATAATTTAAGTGAATACTTTTCTTTTTCAGTTTCAAATCTAGCCAACAGATTCCCACAGGCCAAAGGGGATGAAAATATCACGGAACTGTTGGATCAGTTCTCATCTGTCTTCTGATGAAATACGGCAAAGATAATAGATGACATTTTAGATAGCAAAAAAACGTTATGACACTCTTTCAAAGCTTGATCAAGCTATTTGAGTTCAGCCAAATATCAATTCTGACTGTGAGAGAACATTTTCAATTACAAGAAATGAATGTAACAGGATGCTGTTACGAAGTCTCCCAAACGAAGCTCCCATAATTCGTAATTCCCAGGGTCGCCTGACATTGGGCAACATCCATTGAAAATTGGTTTGGTCCAGTAAAGTTATATGCATTAGTGATGCCTGGGGACTAACCTTGTATATCATTCAAATCATCTTGGCATGACAAACAAGAATATATATGGTTTAGGGGTGGGGATCTCAACCATTTACAAGATACTAGAATATTGGGGGTGGGGAGGAACCCCTGGGGACTGGCCCTATACGTCATTCAAATGTTCATTACATGACGAACAGGAATATATATGGTTTAGGGGTGGCGATCTCAACCATTTACAAGATATTAGAACATTGGGGGTGGGGGGAACCCCTGGGGACTGACCGTATACGTCATTCAAATGTTCGAGACATGACAAATAAGAATATATATGGTTTAGGGGTGGGGATCTCGACCATTTACAAGATATTAGAACTTTCTCAAATGACAGGGGGTCGGGATGACCCCTGGGGACTAACCCTGTCTATCATTCAAACCATCTTCGCATGACAAACCAGAATATATATGGTTTAGGGGTGGGGATCTTGACCACTTAGAAGATATTAGAACTTTCTTAAATGGCAGGGGGTGGGGGTGACCCCTGGAGACTAACCCTGTATTTCATTTGATGTGCTTTATCATGACAAACCAGAATATATATGGTTTAGGGGTGGGGATCTTGACAACTTAGAAGATATTAGAACTTTCTTAAATGGCAAGGGGTGGGGGTGACCGCTGGGGACTAACCCTGTATAACATTTGATGTGCTTTATCATGACAAACCAGAATATATATGGTTTAGGGGTGGGGATCTCGACCATTTACAAGATATTAGAACTTTCTCAAATGGCAGGGGGTCGGGATGACCCCTGGGGACTTACCCTGTATATCATTCAAACCATCTCAGCATGACAAACCAGAATATATATGGTTTAGGGGTGGGGATCTTGACCACTTAGAAGATATTAGAACTTTCTTAAATGGCAGGGGGTGGGGGTGACCCCTGGGGACTTACCCTGTATAACATTTGATGTGCTTTATCATGACAAACCAGAATATATATGGTTTAGGGGTGGGGATCTCGACCATTTACAAGATATTAGAACTTTCTTAAATGGCAAGGGGTGGGGGTGACCCCTGGAGACTACCCCTGTATTTCATTTGATGTGCTTTATCATGACAAACCAGAATATATATGGTTTAGGGGTGGGGATCTCGACCATTTACAAGATATTAGAACTTTCTCAAATGGCAAGGGGTGGGGGTGACCGCTGGGGACTAACCCTGTATAACATTTGATGTGCTTTATCATGACAAACCAGAATATATATGGTTTAGGGGTGGGGATCTCGACCATTTACAAGATATTAGAACTTTCTCAAATGGCAGGGGGTCGGGATGACCCCTGGGGACTTACCCTGTATATCATTCAAACCATCTCAGCATGACAAACCAGAATATATATGGTTTAGGGGTGGGGATCTTGACCACTTAGAAGATATTAGAACTTCTTAAATGGCAGGGGGTGGGGGTGACCCCTGGGGACTTACCCTATATAACATTTGATGTGCTTTATCATGACAAACCAGAATATATATGGTTTAGGGGTGGGGATCTCGACCATTTACAAGATATTAGAACTTTCTAAAATGGCAGGGGGTCGGAATGACCCCTGGGGACTAACCCTGTATATCATTCAAACCATCTTAGCATGACAAACTAGAATATATATGGTTTAGGGGTGGGGATCTTGACAACTTAGAAGTTATTAGAACTTTCTTAAATGGCAGGGGGTGGGGGTGACCCCTGGGACTAACCCTGTATTACATTTGATGTGCTTTATCATGACAAACCAGAATATATATGGTTTAGGGGTGGGGATCTCGACCATTTACAAGATATTAGAACTTTCTCAAATGACAGGGGGTGGGGATGACCCCTGGGGACTAACCCTGTATATCATTCAAACCATCTTAGCATGACAAACCAGAATATATATGGTTTAGGGGTGGGGATCTTGACCACTTACAAGGTATTAGAACTTTCTCAAATGGCAGGGGGTGGGGGTGACCCCTGGGGACTAACCCTGTATTTCATTTAATGGGCTTTATCATTTAGAACATTTTCAATTAAAAAGTTTGTGTCTATCACGAACGGTTTTCAATTTATAATCATTTGAAAATTTTAATCAAAGAGCTGAAAGCTCTGAGGAAAAATAACGCCACTGTCTCTAATATTGTGATATTTTTTATGCAAGTCTTGATTTTCACATACCGTAATTAGTTTAACATTCCAACATGTCTCATAAGCATATAGTTGATATTCGTATATGTGTGTGTGTTATGTGAAGATGACAACTGGCTGATTTTTTAGTACAAATGTATAGGTCAAGACTACCTGAATGATCTACAGTATCCAATGACTACTGGCTGTTTTTTTCTATAAATAAATAGGTCAAGACTACCACAATGATCTACAATATCCAATGACTACTGGCTGTTCTTTTGTACTAATAAATAGGTCAAGACTATTTGAATGATCTACAATATCCAATGACTACTGGCTGTTCTTTTGTACATATAAATAAAGACTACCTGAATGATCTAAAGTATTCTAAGTAATGTGATTTTTGTCTTGCAATTACATTTTTCTAAATCAAGAATATAGACTACTAGTATCCTTTTCAAACCAAATGATTATGAAGAGCCTGTTGTTATCAAGCTCCTATACCCCACATACTCATTAAATAAGTTACTAGTGACCTAGTTATTTCTGTTACTTGAAGCAAATTATATTTCTGTAGATTTAGACAATAGTATAATATTGTTTTACTAGTTTTATTTCACCTTGAAGATTAGACAAATAGGGATACTCCTTTGATTTTTTATTTCATGTCAGTCAGGTCGCTTTATATGAAACTTGAAAACCACTTCTCTGCCATATTGTTATTTCATAACAACTCTGCCCTTGACCATGTTGACCCATGTAATTGATATTCATTCTTTAACCATATATCATAGTCAGTTAGTTTTTGATTTTGCACTCCCACACCACCTTTCAGGTCAAATGTCTGTCTCCATTTAAGTTAATGACATTGAACAATCATGGTATTAAACACAATTCCAATAGTGATAATGCTGTTCTAGTAGGTCACCATATATTCAACTCGGGTAGCATTCCAGTTATTGAAATTTGTGTCAGATTAGAATAATGATCTAGACCTTTAGGAATGGATCTTACAATTTAATATGGAGCCATAGTATGGGACCCCTACACGGTAACAAAAAAAAAAAAAAGCTTGAAAAGATACAAAGTCAAGCGGCAAAATCTATCACCAGAAATTACAAGTCAAGAGAGGATGGACGGGATACGTCTCTAAAATACTTGCCTAACTGGAACTACAACAAGATCTCCAGACAAGACGAACAAGGAGTTGAAGCCAGAAGTTAATATTTATGTAAAAAGTAGTTGAGGGGCTGGTTCCCGCTATTGAACCATACTGTCATTCTATAATATTATTGCGTAAGTATTTCTGTATTGTCCTTGTTATTGGTCCATGTCTTGGTGTATTGGTCTGAGGCGAAGCCGAAGGCCAATACTGCTGGCCGAGGACCAACAATAAGGCCAATACAGAAATACATGTAATAGTATCTTTATTTATTAACTACAGTGTTACAATATTTTTTTATTTCATTTCACAAGAGATAAACATTTTTACCTTGAAGTGGAACTATCCAAATCTCAGTTTCTTTTTATAAGATGCAATATCTAATGATTTGGTGCCGTTTCCATGCATCTTCAGCCTTTTCTCATCTGATGAATTTTTCTACCCTTTCCAGTCACTATAAAGTGTTACAACTTTAATTTAGACACAACACATAAATAGTAATTGGAAAGGTACTGCCATTGCATGTGTAATGTAAATATATTTAAAAAAAAAATAATGTAAGAGTTGAAATTGATACAACTATCCATAAGCCAATTGACCAAAGAACGAAGATTTGCGCAATTACAGAATGCATATGCCTGGTTCGGGTTTAAAAATAAAAGACCGTTTACAAAACATGAGAAGCGAAAGTGAACAGTAAAAATCGACATGATGAAATTATGAGGTCGTCAAGAAATGAACTTTGTGATAATTTACTCGTTCCCTAAACCTGAAATAATTCCATCGTCTACTTTCAAAATGCTTTTCAAATGAATGGGACCGTCTTTAACCTAAAATATATGCCATACTGAACGGAGTAAATAAAAACTGCGTCGTACAAACAACTGTTTACTTTCAGTTTGAGTTTATCGTGACTTACGATCTAAAAACTAGAGACGTTCCGAAATCCTGTTTTGGCCGGATCAGAACTCGGCCAATACGGAAAAAAAATCTGTATTGGCCGAGTTGACATCTTATATTGCATATGCAGTTTTCATCATTTTAAGTACAATAACAGTGTAGTTAATTAATAATGATACAGTTACAGACTCTGCTGCTATAACTTTGTGAACAAAGATTCATACGCACCGCGTGGGTATAACCGTATTACTAATTTCCGATTATTAAAATCTTCGTAAATCTTGATAAAGACCAGTTTCTATCCAATGGATATCAAAATGATTCTGATTATTACTTTTTTAATGATTGTAAAGTTGAAATGGCATGAAAGGCTGACATTATTTAGGAGAACTATTTTGTCTAGCGATTGCTGATCATTGAAGGGTAAAAAGTCCAACACCATAACAAAACGGATCTATTTATCATGTATACATACCGATTGTTTACGATTGTAAGACATGTGCATAAAAGTGAAAGCTCGAATAAATATGAAAAATATAACAAAGGGATAGCTCCAAATACCATTTAATAACAAAAAACATATGGACAGGTCAAGATATCTTTTTGGTAAATAAAATAACGTATGTAAACTGGTTCCCGTCCGACTACAACACTTTAACAAAGACTTTGTTCGAGTGTAGCGTAATACAAGCAGATTCCAGTTAGTATGTAAAATAGTAAATATGAAACCGAGTGCGGTAGGCGGAGGCATAATCAACTTCCGTTAGTTCTGGTCAATGGTATCGGAAACATGCCGCTGATAGCGTCATTTTCCAAAAAATAAAATCCCATAGGGTTCTATAGTAAAACCCTCTTTTCTTTTTGCCCCTCAAAGTACCCCTTTATAAACCCCATTGCAAAAACAAAACCCTGATTGCACCACTAGACATGTTAGTCTAACATATTGTGAAACCCTAAGTTAATCCGACAAGCGGTTTTGGAAAACGGGTGCGGACAAGTTCAAATTTAAAAGCGGCGGAAGAAGAAGAAGAAGAAGAAGAAGAAGAAGAAGAAGAATAATAATAATAATAAGAACTGAGCAAAAACAATAAGTCTTCCCAAACTTCGTTTGGGAGACTTAATAAAGAAATCTACACTGAATTCTGATCAGAACTCGACAATGATTCATTGTGTGCCTTGTTATCAAGTAAATGTAATCAAACTGGTAGTTGTTTTGAATATGTGCCTAAGCCTAGGGTGTTGCTTTAAAAGCAGCAAAACAGACCACTGTTGAATACAATAAAAGTTTACTCTAGAATATTGTTTTTATTATGTATTAACAAATTTGTATAATCATGATAATATGAAATTATGAACATTGTTCATATAAAAAAGTCCGTATCTTCGTCACGCGTTTTCACACGCTTTTTGACATGTCATGTCATGTCATGACATGATTTCTCATTGTCAGAGGTTGGCAAGTATGGTAAATTCATCTGGATCGGCATTGTGTAACAGTATTGTAAATATATCAATTTTTGTTGGTGTAGCAACTCAGTTCAGTGAATATTTTTTCTTTTCCTTTTTATGAAAGCATTCAACAAGATATATCTTCTCACATTTTATTTCAAAATTCTATGATTTCATTTTCTTTCTAGTCACACAATAATTAATTTTTTTTTATATGAGACTTTGTATAACATATTTGAATTGAGATTATTTACATGATATGGACTAACATTACTTATTTTTGGGTTAGCGTTGGAGTATAGATAAGAAATGTTAATATTGTGTATGCTAAATTGCCAAAATTAAAAAATAATTCTTTCATGCCATGCTCTATGCTCATTTTAACATGGGTAGGCATTATATTTGTCAATATCTTTTTACCGAGTGTAAGCGAGGTGCAAAATGTTGACAAATATAATGCCTACCCATGTTAAAATGAACATAGAGCATGGCATGATAGAATTATTTCGATTCTAATAGTAAAATTTAGAACTTTTGAACTTTGAAGCGGACCTATAATACATGTTCGAAAGGCAGCCATTTTGATTTCATGAAGCCAAAATGATAGAGAAAATCAACCGTTTCACAATAAAAAAAAGAACAGATTCATGTACACTTTCTTTTAGAATGATTTTATTTAATTTCCTTGCAAGCAACACCTACACAAATGTCCATTTTGATCTTAGGCGTTGTTCAAAATACAACTGACGTTGCAATTTTAATTGTGACGTCAATCACATGCAGCCCATGTTCTATTGCAATTAGAACATGGCTTTGTTTCCAAAGCGAAAGAAGAGCGTCATATTAGAATGTAGTGTATGTCTTGCTCTTCAATGAGAAAATAATAATCAAAACTATCGATCATTTGGTAAAAAAATATAAAATACAAACAATAAATAAAATCTAAGTTGTGAACTCACTTGAAAAGTGACCACAGACATTGCTTGTTTGTGTCTTTAATCCATCAGAGACATGTTTTTGATTGAGTCTACAAGTTTTCTGTGGGTCTTGTTGACAGAAGTCAAAGCTGTTACATGTAAAATTTACATTTATACACAGATCAGCACACTGCATTGGAGTGAGGACATTTCCAATATACATATCTCCTTGATCTATTACTTCTATATTCCCAACATAATTAAATTGAGCTGAAAATAAAATAATGAAATGTCTTAAAATGTGTAAAAATAGGATATTGCAATAGATTATTTGCTCTTATTTTATACATTCAGAAAGCAGTAAGCGTTTTGAATAAATTTGAAGTGACCTTAATATTGTTGATAAACAGTTAGCTTTGCTATTTGTACCTGCAGAGGACATAGCACCAAATAGGATTCAAATTTACAAAAAATGGCATACAAGTGATATTATCATCATATGGCATTATTTCTTTTATACAGTCTAAATAAGACTGACAATAAATTAAACAATCTTATTTTAAAATGACCTATACTATATAACAAACCTTACATGTGGCAGGAGTACGGTCAAGTAAGGAAGCATGTATATACACATCAGCATAATCTATATCGATCCTTAAATTTTGCAATCTGGTTATTTCAATTCCCATTGTTTCTGCCAATTTTAGTTGGGTCAACTGTAATGTTGCTTTATGTCTGTCTATAGCCATTCTACCTAAAGTTTGTATAAAAATCCTATCATAAACTTCAAATCTTAAATTGTTCCTATTTTGTATCTTGAATTATATTGAAAAAAAAAAAGAATAAGAGTTTGATGTTAAAACTGAACATTGACATCTGAAATTTGAAAGTTTATTCAAATTGACCTCATAATGACTATCAGCCAACCTTAAATCAAGTTTTGATCTTCATTAAAAGGATAAAAAATTACTTGAAAATCAAATATAAAAATACATCAGTAATCCTCTATTCATCAACCTCAATACAGATTTACTACCATAGTAAATATTTACCTGGGAATCTGAGATTAAAATTCAACTTTGACATATCATTGTAACATGAAGATACATCAAATACAGAGATATCAGGATCACTATCATCAAAATCATAAAACTGTATTGTTTCTGAATAACCAACCTGAAAAATTACAAAGGTTAACACTGAGTCTACTTCATTTTTTGTTGTTGTCTTTATCTACTGTGTTGATTTTATTCAATAAAAAAATGTCAAATTTTTTAACCTAGAGTTGTCTTTCTTTTTGTTCTATTAAAAGTTTCAGGAGCGACAGAAAAGAAATGTGAGTATTAAAATAGGAAATGGTTCACGTTTCAGCCTGTTCATGCCTTTAACATGTCTCAAGAAAGCATTTTTTTCAAATGCAAAAAATCAAACTTTTTCCAATAGAAACAAGTTAGGGAATTGTTTATTTGAGGGGTATCATTATACAACCATTTACATGTCAATTTCATATCATATTCATCATAGCTTACTGAATCAGCATTTAATGTCATCATAACTGGTACAACTGTTGGAAGGTGTAGACCATTCTCTGGATAAATAGTTAAACCACTATCAGTCTACAAAACATGGCAGAAAACCTGAAAATTTGATAATCTATACACAAGTCTGAAATAATGTTAAGGAAATATTCAATTAATATAAATCATATAATACTGATTAGGATACATATAACAAACAACTCATTTCTTACATACATTATTCAATTTTGCAGTGAAATCACAAAATTTATATGTTAGACATACATTCTACTCTCAGAAATAAAGACACAACATTTTGCATAATTTACCAAACACATTTCTATTTAAATGAATTTTCGTTTCAAGCTGTTTGGTTGTACACAAATGTCATATGTTTACAATAACTGCAAAGTATTTAACACACATCATAACTGATGGTTTTTGAAGTTTATCTAACTTTTCCAGTTATACATTTAAAAATTCTAGAATCTCCATTGATTCTATTTAATATGTAATTTAACTTACAGATAATAAAAAAACTTCAATGGTAGTATTTGCAGTATCCAACTGTCCATTTATTACAAAATTGTTTTTAATAGCAGAAAATACATCACAAGTTAGTTCTCTACAGGGTCTCTACAAAAACAAAATATAAGCTGTGATAATTAGTTATCTAAGGGTTCCTTTATAGAGGAATTTGAAGTACCCTGTGTAAATATCAGATATTTATATTCTATCTAATCCCTGTAAATCTAATGAACATTTGTCCTCATCATATATGTGTAACCAGAGTCATATCCCATATTGTAGTTGTGATAGACTAATGTCATCACTATTATTGATACTAACCAACTACCTGGTGAGTGGTCAATGGACCGATCAGCCACTAAGGCCTTCTTTAAAAACAGAAAAATTTCTAAATCATAAGCTCTTAAGCTACTTTGACAATGCAATATATCTTTTAATATCTAAAATTATGAAATATTTCTTAAAAATGATTGTCTATATTAAAGGAAACAGATATCTACAGAAGACAATGAAATTCAGGGATTTATCCTAAGAATTGATTGTCAAACGACCAATAAAATCATCTGCTATGGTTTACTGTATTTTCACATATATTTTTTTGGAAATACATCATGATTTAATAAAAGTGAACAACTTATTATTACCGTTCCCACAAAAGTAAAGCCTTTATCCAGATAGAACAATTCCAGTGGGTTCTGCATTCCCAACATAAAATCACCTGTTTGATTTGTCAATTTACGGTTAAATTTGGCACCAAATGATGATTTCTTCAGAGGTAATATCGTACAATTACCCAAAATATTATCTTTATAGAAATAAACACCTGAAAGAAAAAAAATAATTGAAGACCAAAAGTTTATTTGTTGCCTTTCTGGTGAAATTACTAATTAATAACCAAATGGTATATAAGAAGAAAACAGACATTTTAGTCAAACAAAAGTAAAAGCTAGGCATTAATGACAACCTTTTGTAGTAGGAAAAACATGAAAATTGTACTGAATTAGAAAGAAAAGACAGTACAAATATAAGGTAAATTTTATATTCAAAGATTTTGAACTTATCTTCAAATAGATCAAATGATAATTTAAAATTTTTTTAAATCAAATTAAACTGTCTTAAGAAGACAAAACTGTAATAGAACGGCTACATCATGACATAGAAAGTAATCAATTCAGTTTTCAAAATTGTTAGCCAAACTATGGATACGTCAGTATTTTGTGTTGGTAAAAATATTTCTCCCTTTATGTAGAGGTTTTTAGACAATATTTTGAAACTAAATATTTATTCAATCCCGTCAACTCAACACATTGATAAGGGCAATATCAGAAGGATGTCCAAAACATAATGACAGTTGTTGCATTCTTTACCTTTACTTTACCTGTAACTAGCTTATATCTGATCAACTATCTAATGGTCAACTACCTGTATTATAGTCCAATACTTCTGTCACTGGGTTAGTTGTATAGAAAGCATTGGTAGGCCTTAGTGGACGGGAATCGTATCTTAAATATTTATACTTTTCTATATACCACACCTGAAATATGTAAAGTAAAGTTAGTAGGATAAACAAACGGCCACATTTCATAGCAACTTCTTATTACTGACAGAAATAATACAGAGGTGCACTCTGGCTGGATGTATGGAAGGCATGCCATGACCAACATATAACTGGCAAATTCAGGAAAAATAGATATCATGGCATTTAAAAAATTAATTAAGAATTAAATGCAGGATTTAACAATCATCTTAATGAATATGAGACAAAATTTCATCTGATTAATTGTTCAACAAGAGGCTGTCAGAGCGACAGCAAACTGGATTTTTTAACATTTATTTTGTGTCCTGGCATTTTTCAATATCACAAGGACCATAACTCCCGAACGGTAAAAGTGAAAATCTTCAATATTGATCTTGACCTCCATTTTGTCATCAGTAACAACATATTGAAATTTGAAAAGCTTTGGTTGAACGGTTCATGAGTTAAAGCACGGACACGACTGGAAAGACCATTTTTCAATCTTTCAAGAACCATAACTCCTGAACAGTGAAAGTGAAAATTGTCAATATTGAACTTGACCTCCATTTTGTCATCAGTAACAACATATTAAAATTTGAAAAGCTTTGGTTGAACGGTTCATGAGTTAAAGCACAGACACGACTGGAAAGACCATTTTCAATCTTTCAAGAACCATAACTCCTGAACAGTGAAAGTGAAAATCGTCAATATTGAACTTGACCTCCATTTTGTCATCAGTAACAACATATTAAAATTTGAAAAGCTTTGGTTGAACGGTTCATGAGTAAATGCACGGACACTGTTTGGCAGCCGCCCCCCTCCCGGATGCCCGCCCTCCCACTGTACATCCCCAAATCAATAACCGATTTTTCCTTCGGAAAACCGGTTAAAATTTAATATTTCCATTTTCCATGAACACAAGTGTCATCAAATAGAAAAAAAGTCCTTTTTTCAATTAATTATTGCACCAATAAATATGTAACTAGATTATGGATCATTGGAGCTATAAGAAGAAAACACTGACAACACATCCTTTGGAGTGTTAAACATCAATGAGCTTCAGAAAGTGATACATCTTTTATTATTGCGACATAACAAGGGTCCATAAAAAAAATTCTATCACTAGCATAAATACATTAATGTACTTACATCTATATATGTAACAATTCCTGACACAACAAGTTCTTGTCTATAGTAAAACTGTTTAGGGAAATCTGGTACTGGCTTAGTTTTTTTTCTTCCCTGACATATTACACCTGGAGGTGTCTATAAAAACATGAGATTCTGTTAATAAGCTTTTGATTATTTTTTTATAACCACATATAAAACTTTATTTCATTATTATTCAGAAAAAAATATGCATCATTTACAAGGGTTGGCTAACCCAAATCAGATTTCAACAACTCTTTTATACACACAATTGTTTGTGTGAAAACATTTAAATTGAATAATCAGTAAATACATAATAGAAATGAACCAATAGAAGCTACAATCTGTCTGGCCTTGCAATTCACTTCTACAAAACTTGAAATACAGATTGTCTTTTGTATCTCTAAATTGTTGTACAGATGTGGATATAATAAAAACAAAAGTGCACACGCTGAAATGTCTCGCCTACTATACTGACCATTGATTTTATGTTGATAGTCCTACATATAAAGTTTAACTTCAAGTATCACATTAACATTTATGATCCAAGAAAATGAGGTCAAGGTCAGATAAACCAAGCTGGAAATACATTAAACCTTTAATACAATCATTCCATACACAGAATACAGATGACCTATTGCTTATAGTATAAAAGAAACAGACCAAACCAAGGAAATTCTATATTGACCAATGAACCATGAAAATGAAGTCAAGGTCAGATGAACCCCGCCAGACAGACATGTACACCTTACAATCATTCCATGCATCAAATATAGTTGACCTATTGCTTAAAGTTTAAGAAAAACAGACCAAAACACAAACACTTAACATAAGTAATGAACCATAAAATGAGGTCAAGGTCAAATAAAACCTGCCAGACTGACATGTACATCGTAAAATATTTCCCTACACCAAATATAGTTGACCTTTTGCATACAGTATTAGATAAACAGACCAAAACACAAAAAACTTAACATTGAGCAATGAACCGTGAAAATGAGGTCAAGGTCACATAAAACCTGCCAGACTGACATGTACATCATAAAATATTTCCATACACCAAATATAGTTAACCTATTGCATACAGAATTAGAAACACAGACCAAAACACAAAAAACTAAACTATTACCACTGAACCATGAAAATGAGGTCAAGGTCAGATGACACCTGCCAATTGGACATGTTCATCTTACAATCATTACATACACCAAATATAGTAGACTTATTGCTTATAGTATCTGAGATATGGACTTGACCACGAAAACTTGACCTTGTTCACTGATCCATGAAATGAGGTCGAGGTCAATTGAAAACTGTCTGACAGGCATGAGGACCTTGCAAGGTACACACATACCAAATATAGTTATCCTATTACTCATAATAAGAGAGAAATTAACATTACAAAAAATCTTAACTTTTTTTTCAAGTAGTCACTGAACCATGAAAATGAAGTGAAGGACAATGGACATATTACAGATGGAAACTTCATATCATAAGGCATCTATATACAAAGTATGAAAGATCCAGGTCTTCTACCTATTGAAATATTAAGCTTTTAAGAAGTTAGTTAACGCTGCTGCCCCTGCCGGATCACTATCCCTATGTCGAGCTTTCTGCGACAAAAGTCACAGGCTCGACAAAAACTATTTGGTAACTTGTGAATGAAATATATGTTGAGAATGTCCAAATTTTGTAAGGATTAGTTCTTAACTAAGAAAATACCTCAAAAACGGCTGGATTACTATCAAGGTCTAGACTTCCTGCAAAAGCATGGTATTCATAAATATGGTGGAAAGCTTTGTTGCCGCCATCTGCATGAATAAATTCTCCTGTCACATCTGCTCTAACAGGTACAGTGAGGAAATCTGAGGATGTCTTCCAAGAATTAGGTTCTACAAAGGAAATAATACATTAAAAACCAAAATGATATTATACAGAGGCTGATAAATTACTTGAGCCTACAGTTTTTGTTCAACATGATATTTTTTATGTTCTAAATCTGTTATTCAAGTTAACCAGAGGTCATCATACAGTCTTCAACCATGGCTACTACTAACACTTTATCTGTAGTACAAGATCATGTGTCATAAATCCTAAGGTAAGAAACAAACGGAGCTATGTTATACAGTCGAACCTCGTTGTATCGAACTCGGTTGTGTCGAAAACTCGAATGAGTCGAAGTAATTTCTCAGTCCCGGTAAAATTCCCGTTTGATCAATGCATAATTACCTCTGATGAGTCGAACTCGGTTGATTCGAATACTCGGTTAAGTCGAGTAAATTTTATAGTCCCGACGATGTAAAATTCATGTAAATTGACCCCGATGACTCGAAGTTCGAAAGTAAGATTTTTTGCAGACCTAATAATGATTTTTAAGCAACCTTATCATTTTTAAAAGAGATTAAAGTTGAGTAAACATACTTGTTTGTATAACAGTTAAAATGACATGTTTATGGTGACCGGTAATTAACACCTTTGTTGATCGTTCAAGCGGAATGTTAGTGTGTTGAACATTTTTTACATCAGATAAAAACAAAACGAATTTAAATGACCCAAGCCGAGATTAAATGAATCGTTAGATTTAAAACTCATTAATTAAAATAAATAAAAGGATTAGGACAATTATGATATATATTGATGATAATTATTGTAAAGCAGACGACCTCTGGCTCATCAGAGACCGTTTATAACTGAATTCGTTCGGCGAGTGATTTCATAATTTATAGTGACTGACCTTTGTAAATATTTGTGTAGACTACATTATATTTTTATTTATTTTTATTTGTGCATGATTTGTATCTGTACTTGTGTGTTTACTTATTATGAAGGACCAAAAAAATGGAGATTGAATACACAATCATGAAGTGTCATATCGAAAAAAGGCACACCGTTCATTGTATCTAGTTTACACAAATCTCATACCGTATTTCATGCATTCCAAATTTATGACGACACACTCGACCTCGGATGAGTCGAACCTCGGATGTGTCGAATACTTTGGTCCGGTCCCTTCGACTTCGACACAACGAGGTTCGACTGTATGTCAACAAAACAGTAACCAAATGCCACCAAAAGCAATTTGTGGTAAAAACGTTTGATTATCTATATTATTGTGTAGCAAAGCTACAAATAAGAGTGACAGTAATGTGGATCTATTAACACTTTTTTGTAATAATTTTGTCCTGTTGGTTACAATTACATCATCTTGTTAAGCATAGAAGTAAACAAAACACTTTTACTCAGTTTTATTTGTACTGAAAATAAGAATGCATGTTTTGTTGTTCTAAACACTTCCATACTCAATCATTCAACGTATAGGTAAACAAAAAGTAAGAGCCTGAAAGATCAAAAAGTAGCTAGCAAGTTACAACTCATCATTGTAAAGCTGCTGATCAAAAATGAAATCATAATGTTCAGTAGTACATTGCACTGGAGGAATGAGTTTTTATTTAAGTTCATTCAACAATAAAAATTCAAAGTATTGGAAAACAGGAAGTAGGTATCTGACAGATCAAAATAAGGCCCAATTATTACAATTCATCACTGGCAAAATGCTGTCCTCATATTAAGTTATTCGGTTCTGTAATAACAGAGAAAAATGTGACAGAAATATTTGTTGGACAAACAGATGGACAAGTTGAAGCAATATTGCTCCCAAACATATAAGACTAAAACTTTCTTATTGACCGAACACAATGACAACTATCTTTTGGCTTGACACCAATGCTTTAGATGTTAACTGATATCATTAGCATCATACGCATTTCAAATATGAAATTATACTAACTTGAGAAGTAATAGTCAACAGTAAAATTAGCATTAGACCTATTCCAATGTAAACATGCTCTCCAATGGTCAACATTTATCCCTCTTATTATATCTGTTCCCATGTAAGTCTGAAAAATAAAATATTTTATTTTTTATTGTAGCAGAAGCTTCTATTTCTGGTTGATGTTCCTAAAAACATTTAATCTGATGATATGTCATATGATCTCAAAAGTTTTCGTCTGAATTTCTTTGGATGCTTCAATAAGGACTGTTCAATGAAGTGCTTTTTATGTGTATTGTCCTGCTGGCCAACCTGTTTTGTATAACTACATAACTATATACAAGTCTAATATTGAAAACAACGTTCAAACCTATGATTACGTTGGATAAAAACCGCAATTTTTATATGTGTGCATGCAAAACAAATTTCTTGGTAGAGGGGTCTAAATACAGTACAAACAACATTTTCCAAAAGACCAAAAAAAGTGAAAAAGTATATTTATACAAAACGCATTTGACTAACAGGTCGAACAACGGATGTTCTTATATATATAATTCGTCTAAATAACAGCCCAACAATGTTAGATCTGTAAATTTGCGGAAGCAAATTTTTTGTTCTTCCCTGGCAGGGATTCAAACTCATGCTACTGAGATATCGTGGCACCAAATCGCCTTGCACTATGCCCGACGCGCTAGACCACTCGACCACCTAGGCTCGTCCCGCAAATTTACAGATCTAACATTGTTTGTCTGTTATTTAGACGAATTATGTATACAGAATGTGTTTTCAGCCTTGTATCACCATCACTGGTGATCCGATGGATAAAATCTGTCGTAGAGTTGTCACTGGTTCAGACGTACTTATATATATATATATATATTAATTGTCGAAATCCAGATATGGTGTTCTAATTTTTGCACCTTTTGTTTGCGGTATACTATCTTTTCCGCAAGTTTATTGTTTTCTGTTTGATATTAAATTAATATTTAAGATCCATTTTGTTACATCTGGTGATCATTTTATTTGGCAATCGCCAATGGCAGTCAGCAGGGTTTAAGAACATCCATTGTTCGACCTGCTAGTCAAATGCGTTTTGTTAAAATATATACTTTGTCACTTTTATGATCTTTTGGAAAATGTTGTTTGTGCTGTATTTAGACCCCTTTATCAAGAAATTTGTTTTGCATGCACACGTATAAAAATTGCGGTTTTTATCCAATGCAATCATAGGTTTGAAAGTTGTTTTCAATTTAGACTTGTTTATATATACATATATATGTATATGATTCTATACAGAATGCTGGAGCAATCTCTTTAGTGTTTATTTAGAAAGCATCAATGTTTCACATTACTTCAACCACAAAAATAAACCCTTTAAAATGTGAAGATTTGTCCAAATACCTCATTGTATTTTTGTCCAAACTTAAGGGCAGTACTACTGGTCATTACATGAAAGAATCCATCTGACTCGGTCACTCCAAACAAGTCAGCTTCTGGTCGCTGTGTTATGTTGGCAACCAAACAAACTCCATCTAATATAAAAGCAATTGTTTGATTTTAAATAAAGAAAAGAAAAGCTTTCAGTTGGGAGTCAAGGTTAATATGAAACTGCAATGAAGAGAGAAATACCTTAAATTATTTTCAAATAGAAGTAAAATTTCCACCATATGATCTATTTCAATCAACAATCCAAAACCTAATTCATATCATGTGCTCACAGATTATTGTTTACAAAATGTCAAGATCAGTGATAGTTATCCATAGCATTAATTTACATTCATGTGTGTATATATATATATATCATACCTACCAACTTATCAAAATCTCAACATGCTCTATGGGGGATTTTAAGAGCAAGAGGACCTACTGCTCCTCTTATATTGTTATAAGTGTTTTTTTATCTACTTCTATATTGTTTAAATGAGTATGTATGTGCTTAATTACCCTTTTTACTCATTTGAATGCTTATTTTGAGGTGTCTAGTTTATACAATAAAGAATTTCAAAATTCATGTCAACACCTCCCATTGGGGAAATCCCCCATAAATCATAAAGGATTCAGAAGTATCTTTTGAAATTTGATATACTGCATTTCTTTGTTCAGTCAACTTGTAGAGCCACATTAAAATATGGGTATCAGAAGAGGAAAATTTATAACCCACATAACAAATTATAATTTAGGGTAATATTTTCGAAAGTGTACACCAAAATGTAACTTTATTATGTTGTGATTGGCCAACAGGGTTGTCAACAATGGAACATCAACCAATGATGTGACATTATTTCCATTTTGGGGTATGAGCTATGAAATTACCCATAGTCCTTTAGATTCTGATATGGCAATTTACTACCCTTATTAACTTGAAATTGTACCTTATTTATATATTTTGACACACAAAAAAGTGACCCATATAAATAGGTCCCATACCAGCACTATGGAATGAACTACCAAATGAAGTATATATTATATATGCAAAGATACCATGCAGTCAGTTCAGCCAGTTCAAGTTTGATGAACAGTTGGTGTGTTAGTTCATGCAAGTGTGGCACTAGTCCAAATAATTAAGACCTTTTGAAAGGACATGTAAATCTTTTGTTGTGACACTGTAAAAGTGGCACTTGCAAACCTTCATTTCAGCTTGACACATACATGTATAATATGTCTCTGATTTGGACTAGCTCTGTTTGTGTCGGGTGAATGTGTTCATGCTGTTTCTTAAATAACTTTTTGTCTACTTTAATGTGTTAATTGATTGTTGGTTGCTTAACATCTGGGAACAGTATATCTATATATATGTTCCTGTTAACACCCAGTGGCAAATATTTCATGCATGTTCAGTGTTATGTATATGGTCGTATGTGTTATATAGTAAAGTCATAAGAGTTGTGTCCCTTTGTATACTGATACTTATTTGTCATGTGATGTATCCTGGCTCTTTGAAATAAACTTGCTATGGAAATAGATGCGTTTTTGTTTGCTCTTAAGCAAATATAACTTTAGCGGCATGGGGAGGCAAGTATATGTTCCCCCATGACCATGTACGTAATATCAGTGTTATCAAGGACAAGGATTTGTATAGTAAGAATATGTGTGTTGTGTAATGCATATGAATATTCTTTGTTTGCTTCTGTCGATTAAAAGCTCTAACGAGTATATATTCAATTTTTGGTATTATGTAAGGTCCCAAACTGTAAATACAATATATATGCTTTACGTTTTATGTTTTAAGCAACTGCGAAGGTAGGGAGGGACATGGAACCAGTTTCCCGCTATTTTTCCAATAAAATATAAAGTCTTGCAGGAGACGCATATGAATTATAATTCCGGAATACAAGTAGTCTCAATTAATTATTATTAAGTTAATTTCCATTGTGACATGTCAAAGTAATGACATTTTAGCGTTCAAAAATTTTATTAAAGAGAACTGACTGTCTGATTTTTAACCGTGAGTATTGATTTTTTTGGTCAGATTACTAACTGAATGTAGAGAGCACCAGAGCTAAGCAAATCGTTAAGAAAATATGGTTAGACTGTCCAATGGTGGAGGGAGTAACAGCACTGTATATAAAGAGAGCATCTGTTCTTCATATGAAAATATCGTTCCTCTACAAAGGGGGTTTAAAGATACGTTAGATTAGATTAGACTAAGTGCAAAATTTAAGAACTACAGTTTTTTTTTGGTGTTTCGATTTTTTTTGCTGCAAATATTTTTTAATATTTTAACTTTTGTTTTATTTAGTGAGTTCTTGCTATTTATATCCATATGATTTTACAAAAGTATTTTCATGATGCGGCTCTATTTTTATTTTCCAATGACGCCTCATTCAGGTAAAAGAGTGACCAGGACAGTCTATTTTACCCTCTTTAAATAAAGTATTTATTATATTATTATTATTATTATTATTATTATTATTATTATTATTATTATTATTATTATTATTATTATTATTATTATTATTATTATACTTTGTTAGTATAGAAAGTCCCTGGAGTTACCAAGTATCCAAGTCACGACTACTATAGAGAAATTATTGGGTTTGCGAGTTCTGACCACAGTTTTAAATATTATTATCATTTAGAAAATCGATATCTTGAAAGGTTTGCACGATCGTATGATTTATTTATCATTGATTACATAATACGATTAAAAGTTCCTGTAGATAAATAACTCGCCCTGATTAAGCATTGTATATTTACCAACGGCCGTTAAAAAGTAAGAAAAATAAACAGGCCATCAAAAACATAAGACGAAGAAGGAACGACAGCACCGTGCACAAAAGACGAAAATACAAACAAAATTTAGCAACCGACAAACCTCACAGAAAAAAGAAGACCAAAGTAGGTGCTCTGGATTGGCTTCCTCTTCCATTAATAAGTAACTGCCTTTTGTTTTAACCATACGACATTTCAAAATGCTTATAAATTCTTTGGCCTTAATTCATGATCGAAGAGGAACATTTCAAAACTCTGAGACATCATTGAGATGGGAGCCATCTCTGTGGGCCCCGCTATACTGAATAACGTGTGGTAAAAAATGTGTATGGATAAGCTGATATGAAGCACTTTCTTAAGTTTTGACCTTGAACTTTGACCTAGGAAGTTGTACAAACATTATGACACACCCTCTGGTGTTGGTTAAGATACAAGTCAAGTATAACGTATGAAATTATAACGGTTCTCTAGATATAGAGAGGACACAATTTGCCGGTTATGGACGGACGGACGGACGGACGGACGGACAGACAGACTGATCACTATAGGGCGACCCGCCACTCGGCGGGGCCCTAATAAAAACAAAGTTTTTCATCATAAACGAGAGACAAAACCACAACCTATAAAAAACATACACTAACAACTATAAAAATAACACTGAATGAAAGAGCACACAGTTTAATATTTAATATTTCCTTTTGTTTAAGGTTTCTTTTTTCATTTCATTTTACATTATAAGACATAACCTTACGTGTCACATAGAAAACTTCATTAGAAGGGAAGTCGTACACAGCTACTCCATCCAGTCCTTCTTTTGTTGTATATAATGCAACCCTGTTACCAAAATTATCGAAATATTCCACTGCATCTAAAGTAGAGCTTTCTTCAATAAGGTTTATCTCTATATTTGTTTTGAAAGACTCTGGGAGATCTGGAAGTTTGGGCCACTTGGTGGGATCTGGAAAGAAAATATAATTAGGTTAGTTACTCAAGTATTGCTATTCAAAACATATTATTACTAGCATTTGGAATTAATCAATTTAGAGGAACATGGATCAAATCTTTTTCCAGACTTATAGACCAAATGGGAAAATTAACTCGTTGGAGAATAGATGGTTTTAGAAAAGTTCTGTTGTCAAAAGTAACTTATATGATTTTATCATTAATGATCATTTTCCAATTAACAGTTTAAAATAAAGACTAGTCACAAGTTTTCCCGGTGATACAATGACATGAAAGATCTAGGACGTTTAGTGGTAGATATTAACAACATAGATGTTTGAGTAATTTAAAAAGTTGTCCAGGTTAACTGCAGAAAAAAGAACTTCTACATGTGCAAGTTAAACTACAACGAAATTTCACTGTCCTAAACTCGATCGGAGTAGATGTGTTAGCTATACCGAGTCAATTTTGTCTTATAAAGGCGGAAAGTGGTCAAACTAGAGTCTTGTTAAAACTTTTTATTAATAAGCTAGCATGTCCAAACTACTACTAATAATAAATAATATGTGAAGTACTTAATTTTTATTGATCTTATAGAAATAAACTCGATGGAAATTAAATCTGGGGTAGATAAAACCTATTTGTAATACTTGAACGGACCGAAACATACAAATCTGCTCCTGGTTCTATGAAAACTGTGTGCTCTTACACACGCTAATATTATAGGGACCCTTTAATTCAATTAAGATAATAAGGAAGTGATAAAATCAAATGTCCAACAGTGTCTTGCACAAAACAAAAAGAACGTAGTCAATGATCTTCATGACTTCAATGTTCCGAATTTCGTCGCCTACCGTTTGATTAAATCGACACCGTATACCTCTGACCGATAGGACAGTGAACTTTACAGAAAAACAAGATTGCACGAGACTTAAAATATCGTCGTTAAACCCCAAGGGGATTTACACTACTTGAGAAAAAAAGTAAACATTTCAACTTGCTTGTAGGTTTTTAATTATTCACGCGTATAAGTGCAAGTTACATCCGCCTACATTAAGAAGGAAGCACACACTTCGCTCACAACTAAGTTTTGATATCCGTATGATAATTTTTATAGAATATTAAAGGTATTTATATTTAAAACGTATCCGTTTATCCTTTAAAATAAACTTCAAAGTTAAGTGACTGACTGTGTTGTTTTCTATGAAAAACATGTTAGCATAGCTTTAGATTGTATATATGTTCGACTGTATGATATAAAATCTACGCTGTCTCAAAATAACTCGTGCATTATCCCCATATACTTTATAATGGTGAGCCTTCAATTCAGTACTTTGCTACCAGTACGTCACTGCTTTTAGAAGTTCATGTACCTTAATTTTGTAATCAAATTAACGCAATGTAATGAACGCATACAGATATTTTTTTGTTTGTTATAGTTTTAGTAATAAAAAGAATTGGCTATGATCACGGTTATATCTTCTTAGAGGAATATTTATCTTAAAGCTCCATCCAGACTGGGAATAATTCGTATTTTTGAAAAGGAATTTTCATTGTAATGACACTGTGTCAACGTATATTTGTTCCGCCTATCATTAGTTACCATGGAACATTTGTTATATACAATGCCATAATATCTGTTCCTGTTGGAACACATATTCTATACTTTTTATTCCGTAAGGAACAACTACTGTAATATTTGTTCCAGTGGAAATAATATTACAGAATATTTCTTTCACTTGGAACTTATATTATGAAGGAACTTCTATTTCGTGACAACTGGAGTTGATGGGTGTAATCGGTTAATGACGCATACCAGCGTTTTGTATGAGTAGAGTACATAAAATGAATCGTGGAGTATATGTCATTGATACAGCAACCAAACAACACAAGGATACTAATCAGACATTTGGAAATTAACATACAGCCTTCAAAGAAAACAGGTACCCATATTGTATGCCAAGTCCTAAATATCACAGATTTAGTCAAGTAGCGGAGTTAATGCAACAGAGACTTTCAAAGACATACAATCCGAACTCGAAAAAACCAAGTATTGAACGTTTATAATGGGCAAGGTTCCTGATATTAAACAAGAACATTAACACATTTCGGGGTTAGTGTTCATATATGACATTAACATATAGAATACAAATGAATTTTATAAACATCATAACGTTACTAATCTTCACATGTTACCTCTAGACTAAAACATCTTAAAGTTTTCTTTGGTTGAGAAATTATATTCATAACTCCAAACCAAATCATTGTCGACCACTTAATATGGGATGTATTATACTCATTATATTATAAAAACCCACTCTGGTTCAAACAAGAAGTTCTTCGAAACTGAAATCACCAAGATTCTTAATATTCTGATTGACAACGTATTTGACTCATTTGAAGAATGTTGACCCCGTATATGTCCCACTTCTTGTCGCTTCCGCTTTTCCTCGATTGTGACATCACCGAATTTTTACATGTCATGGACAACACGACGGGTGCTACTAGTGAAGCAGAAACTGTTCACCCTTCCAGAGTATTTGAGTTCATCCCTTGTTTTGTTTAAAAGGGGTTCGTGTTGCTTTTTGAAAATTCGTTTTGAATAGTTACAGTAAGAAACAGTCTTGTCTATTATTTGTCCTGAAAATAGTATATTCGTTTTAAACTTTCACATAAGGTCAAAGTTTACAGAATTTATGTGTACCGATGGTTTGGCGATGTCTTTGGGTTATACGGGTTATATTCACTCAATTTTTAGTGTATGTTGTGTAATCACTTGGCATGAATCATTAATGAATTTTAAGTGGACGGTAACACGGCGAATGTTAACAATGGAGGATAAAGTGCTGACCCTTACGGAGCACATGGGTTTTCGGTGGGATTCGTGTTACTCAATCTTTAGTTTTCTGTGTAGTGTTTTCTGGTCTTGATTTGCTTCTTTTTTGTTTTTGTATTGTCGGATTTTCTTTGACTTAGAATAGTTTTGTATTGCCACCATTGGTATCTTACCCCTAATTCTATTGACCTACCTCCTCCAACACTAACATTGCAAATGTACGATGTGCCGCCACTAAACAGGCTGGTAAATACGATAAACAAACTGAGTGTTGTGCTCTATAACAAGAAAATGACAATGGAAAGAAAAACATTTCTAAGCAGGTCAAGGAAATAAAATCTATCAAGATAATTTTCATTCAAAATTAATATTCTTTTGGCAATACACAAAAAAGCTTGACAGGCCTTTAAACATAATGTAGAAGAGAGGCGAAAGATACCAAAGGGACATAGCTGTACAAACATTATTTGGCCGAAATTATATGACAATAGACTTTAGGTCAGCGACAAAGACTGGAAAATTGAAACATCCCCAAGGTATAACACAGCAAAGACTATATTTGATACTAACATATATTCGTAAAACATCAGATAGTATACCGAATTTCATCAATAATAAGATGACGATGAAGGATTGGTGTTTAACGTCCAGTGACAAATATTACATGCATAACAGGACGAGAACATATTAAGGTGGTATCAATATCAGCCCTGCTTTAAACTAGACCGACAATGAGCCGTAAATGTAACGTGCTAGTTCACAAGGAAATAGTCTGCAGGAAGATTTGGCACATTATTCGGACACATTATTCCGACTCCGAGCCGACTATACTTTGTTCTTAGTGTCAAATACCGCTTTTAAGGGGAGAAGCAGTAAATACTAATTTCAAATCTTGATTTTACCCGGTCGTGGATCGAACCCATGACATCCTGCACAGAGGCGATTCCACAAATAAATTAGTCTCTACAATATACATGAACAACAATTGCTGGGTTAAGTGGTATGTTTCTACTTAGCAATGAGACGTTGACAATTCACCAAAGGGTCAATCCTTAGAGGTCTATTTGAACACTTTTTCTCAATTTATTGTTGGACGTTGATATGCCGGATGACTTTAAGCATGTAATGGAAATATTAGAGGTTGGTATTGAAAAGAAACGTCTTTACTTATAATTTTTTTATGTTGTCTTTCATTATTTTTTATGTAAAAAAATGGAATTGCTAATCTATGCCTTAGGTTGTATATATGTACATTTTATGATTTATGTAAACAAAAATAATACCAACCTTCATTTTGAGATCCTAACATAACGTACCCTTAATAGACAGGCACTTTGAACTTACTGATTAACATTTTATCATTATCACAACGGTGTGGCCAGGTAACAACTTAGTATAATTAAGTGCATTTTCACATAAATAGATGGCGATCACCATGAAAAACTTTTCCTGAATTGTCAATTATATAGTGCGTACTATTTCAGGCGGCCAATGTTTTCTTGACTGGCACGCGCTCAATTTTTCTTTTCTTATTTTGAAAAAAATCATGGTGCATTAAAAATCATCCAAAATTATCTTTTCCGGTAAATGCTTCTAGTAAGGGTAGGAAATTAGAAGTATGAGGATAATGATTAAAACCAGGATTGATAAAATTATAGAAAAGTAAAATAACAAGCACTTTACGCTCGATTGTTTCACCCAGTAAAATTACACTTGGTTTTCGATATAAAAAAGGGGGAGGGGGGTGTATAAGTCAGTAGTCGAATGCATTTGTTTTCTCTCCCCTTCGTAAATATTTGCCCATAGGTCACAATCCTTACCAACAGATTTTAAGTTTCAATAAAAATAAAATATTGACTAAGTTGATTCTGAATCCCTTTGTACAATACTGTAATTGTATTTGGTTGTCATGATTTTCAAATAAAATAAGTTTAAAACTAAACATTGTATAATCTTTGTTTATGTGTTATATAATGTAATAAAAGATCCTTTATCTTGTAACCTACTACATTTAACCCTGCAAATGCCTCACAGGTAAATCAAAACTACAGGTAATTCATTATATCAATTTCATAAAAATATGTTGGTTTTACGTTTAAAAATATAGCATAGATGGCATCATCATCCATATGTGATTAATCTATCGATCAGGTCCACGTTGGTAGCTGTGGGTTATCTAGTTTTTTATTAAGAACACAGGTAAGTGTCACACATTTTATCAAATATTGCAGTTTGCATATTCTTATTACGCGTCGTTTTAACACGTTGCTATTCCCTTATAAAGATTAATTGTCGATTGCTCAACACCTAGTATGAAGTATTTCAGGCATCTTCTGTAAAGCATTGAAATATTATGTAATGTAGGCTCATCATAACATATCATGTATCAATATTTCTTAGGGCAATCATGATTTTCTTTCATATGTTGTTGTTTTGCATAACTATATATAGGACATTCAACTTTACATTTACATAACAAATAAAATATTAAAAACCGTAATGTCGTTAAACGGTGGCATTTACAGACGCCCATAATAACGAGATTATTTTTTTTTCAGGTATTAAAATGAAAAGCAAACCATGCGATAGAAATGCGGTTTGGGAGAAGAATTATTCATGTATTTGTCTCTGTATTCGCCATCATTGGCACTGTGTATTTCATTTGGCTTCAAAATGAAAATTCCGAGATACCCAAAGTATTGAGAGAAAAGAGAAGACCAAAAGATTTTATTGATCATCCAGTTTTCGATCGTAAAACATCCCTACCGATTCTATCGTTTCCAAAACTAAATATTTTTAAAGGGGGAACAGAAAATGAAAGTAACAAGATATCATGCGTAAAACTGAATACATTTAGAGGGCAGACACCAATATGTATATTCGATCCAGAGATAGATAGAATGATATCGTCCTATGTAAAAGATTATGGAACGTGGGAACAAGATTTGATGAATGAAACAGGACAGGTGCTCCTACAAAAACCTTATCTGACCTTTGTTGACATTGGATGTAATATAGGAACTTTCACACTGTTCAGCGCTAAACTTGGAACTCGGGTCATTGCTATTGACATTTTAGAATCTGCACTAAACCTTGTGCACAAGTCTCTTTTAAAAGGCGGTTTGAAGCAAAATGTAACCCTGGTATTGAATGCCATATCAGATACAAGAGAAAACGTCAAGGTTCATGTCGTGAAAGAAAACCCTGGAGGAAGCTATATAGAGCAAAATAACACAAGTGATAAGTCCGTCGATGCTATACTGTTAGACGACTTGATAAGTCTTGTAGGACCGGGTTCCGTTTTCTTAAAAATGGACATAGAAGGTAATGAGCACAAAGCTTTGAAAGGAGGAAGTAGATTTTTCCAAGTTTTAAACGTGGAACATATCTTTATGGAATGGATGCTACACAGATACAGTCCTAATGGAAAAGAAATCGTCCATTTTTTGCTCAGAAATGGCATGTTGCCTTACGAAAGCTTGTCAAGACAAACCCCGCTGGACCTAAAAAGATCATACCAGTGGCCAGATAATATATTCTGGAGCAAAAGATGAAAGAAAATACATCCTAACTGTCTTGTCGAAAGAACAGTAGACTGAACATCATACTTGATGTTTAAGACATGGACTGAACATTTTTCGCAATTTGAAGTGGTGTAAAAAATCGTGGATGAAACACATGGTTTGAATCAAAAGTCCAGTGCAATCAATTGAATGAAACAAAAACCATTATATAGTCTATATTTCCAACAGAGATACTAATAGACAAGAGTTGAGTATTGTTTTGATAACGACCATTCCTTCATGTCCTTACGGGATAGGATCGGGTAGGGAAAATATGTAGTATTCACATACATCTTACATCCCTAAACAATAACAAATATATGTGAAAAAAAGGATTAATTTCCTATGATGTCATATCGTACTGAATAGTTTAAGACATTATTACAATGGCACTATACAGCTACTTCACCGATTTAAAGGACAAATCTAACCCTCTGGTTTCGGATTACTGCATAAATTCGAGTCGTTGAAAAAGGGTTATTGCTGTCGTCTGTCTACTTTATGCACGACATGCAAATAAATTATTAAGAAATCAATGGTTTCTGTATGTAAATCGTATCAACATTAACAACAAAAGGCAGGGATATACTGTTACCCGAAACTTTTTTCCGTATTTCAGATTAAAAATATCTTACTAGTATTTTATTTAGTTTTTGTTTTATTCAAATGTACTTTAGATCCTTTTTATGTGAAGACATACACATGTAGTCTGCACGCTTTCTTTCTTTCAATATCAAGAAATGAGAAAAAGTTATTTTGTAAAGGAAGTCACTGGATGCTCCATTAATACCGTCAACATAAAATAATATTTCCTACAATAACCTTTTTATGCATATGTTAAATACGCATGGTCACATGGAAATTATGGACACTTTAAATGTAAACCTCTTAAATTCTTTTTTTGTTTTGTTCTATTATGTTGTTGGATTGTCGTCTCGCTGTTGTTTACTCCACATTTCATTTTAATCTCACTAATTGTTTACTTAACGGATATACCGGTAGCAAAAGACCAAGAAGAATGGACAGTCTTTCTATGTTGTGATGTTACACTATTGTTTCAGGTAGGGTGAAGGTTGGCGCCTATTAAAACGTTTAAACCCGCTGCATTTGTTTGCACCTGTCCTAAGTCAGGAACCTGATGTTCAGTGGTTGTCGTTTGTTGATGCGGTTCATAAGTGTTTCTCGTTTCTCGTTTTTTATATAGATTAGACCATTGGTTTTCCTGTTTGAATGGTTTTACACTAATCATTTTTGGGGCCCTTTATAGCTTGCTGTTCAGTGTGAGCAAAGGCTCCGTGTTGAAGGCCGTACTTTGACCTATAATGGTTTACTTTTACAAATTGTGACTTGGATGGAGAGTTGTCTCATTGGCACTCATACCACATCTTCTTATATCTAGTCAACAAGTAACGTTACTCTTTAACATGATATAGTCATAGCTCCAGTATCACAGTATACACATCAGATTTCGCGTTGACCTTTTCATTGTTTCGATTCAAGTGATAGACACGTGTTTCTGGAATAACTCTCACGAGCCTTAACAGTTTGGGATTTTAAAAAAACATTAACATTTAAAAGATATAAAATGAACAAGTTTCCAACCAGACGACCCAATATTCTCAAATCTAAACTATTTCTGCATGGGGTTTTGTCCAATTACGTAAATTGAGGAACTGAACATTTACAATCAAAATGGTCATTTTAAACTTGCCAGTAACAAATAACTGGATACGGGGCGGATGATCTCCTAGGGAACTGGCAATAGCACCGACTCAGTAATTATGATATAGATGTATGATATCGATTGAAGCCAAATACATTGAAATGTAGTGTGTGCTAACTATACTTTCTTATAATATATCTTTAACATTACATATGGATATATAAATATATATTGTGTTTACCACATTTCTTTGAATGTAAAATGAAAGAAGATTGTCATAAGTGATTTCGTCTATATATTTTTAAATCTGTTCTACTTGAAAATATATTTTATTTTTTACGCTCCCAGTATCAGTTCATACAGTTTTATTGAAAATTTTCGTGTTGAGGAATAACCTGAAAGAATAACATTACTTTTGTACTTTAATAAAAGAGTAGAGTATAGCTTCGTTAAAATGAAACAAGAAAAAAAATAAAACAAGAATAGAACATTACATATGGATATATATAAATATAAATTGTGTTATGTACGTATACCACATTTCATTGAATGTAAAATGAAAGAAGAATTGTCATAAGTGATTTCATCTATATATTTTTAAATCTGTATTAATTGAAAATGTATTTTATTTTTTACACTCCCAGTATTAGTTCATACAATTTTCGTGTTGAGGAATTACCTGAGAAAATTAAATTACATTTCTTTTTTTCTTTAATAAATGACTAAAGTATTGCAAACGCTATTTACATTGTAAGCCTTGTTAAAATAAAGCAAGAAATACATAAAAAAAAAGAATAGATCATTACATGAAAAGAAGATAGCATTATGATCTATTCTCACGTTCCAGTATATGATCCTATATAAATAATGTCATCTCACTGAGTGAATAAAAGACAAGCTTGTTAAGACCATCTTGCCCTTTGACTTGAAATAATCTATACCACAAATACAATAAGTCTGCTTCACAATTTTCATTTACTCTTGGAAATTGACAATGAGTGTCGATCAAGAAGTAGCCTAATCGTTAGGAAATACGAAAAATATATTTAGATTTTCCTTATGTGAACTATACATTTATATTAACAACATTCCTGCAACACCTGCCGATGAAGTATATATATCCTAGTAGATATGATATCAAAGGGCTTGCGTTTTCTATCATATTTTTCAATAGTTTGTTGCTTACCAGGAAGCCATTGAACAAAGGGTTCTTAATGGTTAAGTTGAAGTCATTTCTTCGAAAGACCAACGACGCCATCGTGATTTGGTTGACCGTTATGGCATACCAATTGTCAATGATGACCATGGAGATGATTTACTTGTCCATAATCCCGTCCTCTTTTCCTCGATTATACCATCACCGAATGCGACTGATAACGACCGAATATTGTTTACTTGACAGGAGAAACAAGACGGGGTCATTTGTAGAGCTAACATTGCTGACCTTTTCCGGAGTTCACCTCCGGTATTTTAAGGGAACTCGTGTTTCTCAATCTTAAATTTACAAGGAGATTCTTTTCAGACTCCAAAGAGAGACTCCATTTTATTTTACTTATTCCTTTTTTGCAATACCGAGAACAAATGTTTTAAAGAATAGCATAGAACATAATGTTTTCCATCTTTTTGAAAGAATCATATTGGCACAATTGGTAAATGATATTATCTAGACTTCAGTTGTTGAAGGGTTATAATTTGAAAAAAGTAAAATAGCTAAATACTAAACTCCAAGGAATATTCCAATCGGAAAGTCCCTTATCAAATGGCAGTTTAATATCAACCAAGATCGTAGGCGGTACCGGAGGTGGCTGTGTAACGTAGCTGTATTTCTCAATATTTCTTAAAATGTACATCGGTACAGACTTTTTGATTCAGTGTAATGATATCATTGCAAGAAATGGACAAGTAAGAGACATTTCATATTAAAAATAAGTTGTCACATTACTCAGTTATACTAAACTGTTTGGTTTATTTTAAGTTCGAAGTGGGAAAACGCCTCTTTAACAGTTAGAGTGTTATCTACTAATGACGTGTGAGTGATTCTTGGAAAGATGGATTGAGTTCTACACAGTTATGGACACCAAGTGTTGTTTAAAAGTATACGTAAATGAGAGGATGTCATTTGGGGCCTATATAACCACAAAGAATCATTGATAGTATTGTCTGCTTACAATTTTTATAGTCTGATAAAGGCTTCACGAAATCTTATAAAAGCTATTGCTTGATGGCATAATTTTACTGTGACATTATGAAAAGTACGTCAAAAGTATAAAATTCTTTTGTGTTTGCGAAAATAGGCAATTTTAGTCCATTTTTCGAAACATTGAGCACAAGTCATATGAACATTTTGGTTTATCATAGAGAATGTAATAGTATTACACAGTTCCATTATGAATATCGTTTTGGGCGATCGTTGTACTGTATATTAACTTTCGGCATTTATGATTCCAAATGCCAATATTGTATAACTTTGCTTTTTTGGCATATACTATTTCATCTAACGTCTTTATGATACATAAAAATGCAGCGTTTTAAATGATGATAGATAACTAATTTGTTCTATAATAAAAGTACACAGATTTAACAATTAATCATGCTAATTTAAATAACAGATATAAATCATAGTATTGCCGCCTTTATAAACTTGTTAAAGATTTGTTTACACCCAATTGTCAAGATTAGGCGTATTTCATATTTAATTTTGGTGTGGTGTCTTTAGGTTTACCGACATATAGTAAAATAGAAACAAAATTATCGTTTGAGAAAAAACAAAAAAGTACTTAAGGATTACGTAACTAAAATGGATGCTTCAACACGCAGTCATCCGAGATAGATGTTTCAAATCAAAAATAGATGATTATAACGTATTACAGCTAAGACATGAGATGTTCAACACTGATAAAACATGAAGACGACAGAAAAAAAAATGAAAACTTAATAATAATACATAGAAAGGCGGATAAAATTCACAAATCAAAACAGTAGAAACAAGATCCTTTAAACAAAAAGAAGGAAAAAACGTAAAGTAGTCCACAAAATATACTAGTTTAATCCAATTCTGACCCTGTATTAAATCAGGCTATCTAGACCATGTGTTGTTCGTTTTTGTTTGTCTTTGTTTGTATATTCGTTTTTCGGAGGAGTCGTTTGTTGTTTATGAAGTCTTTTGTACTGTGTGACATATTAAAGTCCGTATTTGTAAAAAAAAAAAAAAATGAGACGGAAAATACCAAGGGAACATTAAAACTCACGAATCGAAGGAATGCTCGTCATGGAAAAAATTGAAAGATAACGAATAGTCCACAAAAACCATTTGTAAAACAAGATCAAAGACGCTAGATCATTTAATTCACATCTATGTATCTTAAGTGTTTCTCGTTTCTTGTTTTTTATATAGATTAGACCGTCAGTTTTCCTGTTTGAATTGTTTTACACTAGTCATTTTGGGGCACTTTATAGCTTGCTGTTCGGTGTGAGCCAATGCTCCGTGTTGAAGGCCGTACTTTGACCTATAATTGTTTACTTTTTACACATTGTGACATGGATGGAGGGTTGTCTCATTGGCACTCATACCACATCTTCTTATTTCTATATATTGATGATGCTCTTTCCATTAACAATCCGAACTTTCCTAATTGGGTCCCATAAATATATCCCCTGCACTAGCGATTAAAGAAACCGAAGATACCGCTTCCTCTGCCTCATTTCTAGACATATACCTCGAATTTGACTACAGTGGTCATCTCAGTACCAGAATCTATGACAAACGAGACGATTTGAATTTTGAAATTATAAATTTTCCTCAACTTAGCAGCAATATACCAACTTCACCCGCGTATGGAGTATACATTTCTCAACTCTTAGGACATTCAGAGGCTAGCAGCTGCTACTCGGACTTTGAAGAACGTCATCGGTGTCTGAGCAATACTGATAAGCCAGGATTTGTCAAACAGCCTTTCGTCCTTTTTCTTTACAAAAATTCATT